AATATTTGCAATGGTATGTATATGAGTCTTTTTAGAATATTCTTTGTCAGCTCTTGTCACTTCACTTGACATTTTATTGTCAACATATGTTTTGTCTGCTAGTTCAGGATGAGTATGTTCTTTCGTTGCATATGTTGCATCTGCTCTGTCATGTTCTTCTTGAACTTTTTCAATGACATACTCTTTGTCAGCTTTGTTGTCAATATCTGCTTTCAAAAGAAGTTCAGATATAGGTTTCTCGTTTAAAGTTCCTTTTGTTGGATTTATACAGACAGTATGGTTCTTACTGTCTTGAAACAGAAACTCGTCTGTCATTGGGTTTAATGTCAGTTTTAAGTTTCCTTCTTTCAATGACTCAGATATCTTAGAATAGTTTGAAAAGTTTGTTGTGTTCTTATTTAGAGCTTGCAAAATGAGTTGTCGGTTGTGTTTTATTTCTCTCATAGACGCTGTTTCATTCGACATTTTTATTCTAGATAAAATATGCTTTCAATAGAAAAAGAAAATTCAAGAGTTGCTACAACTAAACCATTAGATGAACTTTTTACGAATGTCGGTCAAAAGTTTGAGACAGAGACCGTAAAGCATGAAGGCTATCGTTTTGACTACCCATTGAGATGGTTAAGAGACCCATCCGTCACAAAAGCTATTGGCTTTCGTAGAATGAAATTCATTTCAGAAGCCATACATGGTTTCCCATTTACGGTCGCTTTTGAAATTCGATACTATAACAAAGAAAAACGTACGTATGAGAAATTTGAACAGGGAAAACTTTTACAAGTTAGTTTGCTTGTAAACTTAGAAACAACTCTTCAAGCTTTTCAAGAAAAAATAAACGATATCTATCTCGAATATGCAAAACAGTACAACATTGACGAAGGAGAGTACCATCTCGATATTTTATATGACAGGAAAAATGCAACTGTTAAAATCAATAGAATAGAAGACCTTGGAGAAGACGTTTATATTTCTACAAAATATAACAACTTGGCATGGTATAGATTTTTGAGGATGTTAAATCAGCCTGCAGAATATCCAGTACACCCGAACTTTTATGAAGTCGAAAACCCTAATGGAACATATGAAAATGTTTTCGACTCAGATGCTATTATCGTTCATGCTTCATTTTCTGGTGCACAAAACTCTTTTTTATGCTTGGCAAATGACTTTTACGAAAAACCTACAAAGCTATATGAACCACCGAGTGGAAGTATTTCAGACTTTCAAGTATGGTTTACAACAGATGGAAGAAAGAGAATAGTTCCATTATACCATGCGTTTTACTTAGAACTTAGTCTCATATACAACTACTATCGAACGGTAAAAATATAATTTTAATACGGTTGAGGTGTTGGATTTGGTTGCCAACTTGACTGTGGTGCAGGTTCAGGCTGTTGTATAACAGGAGCTTGTTCTTCTGGTTCAGGGTCTTTAGGTATAATACCAACGAACTGACCTACTCTTTTACCAATATTTTTGACTCCGTTCCAAATTCCTCTTCCGACAGATTTTATTCCATTCCATATACCTCTTCCAACATTTCGAAAGAAGTTTCCAATACTACTGAAGAAACCCATTTTACTATATGTAAAAATCTAATGTCCACCTAGTCTCTTACGTTTCCTGTTGAGTTCCATAGCATTTTTTAACTGGAGCTCATACATTCTATTTCTCCTCTGGTAGAAAACATACTCTGGGTCAACTCCTGTGTTCGCGTCATCTGCATAGAGTTGTTTATATCCCACTTCAGGGTTTGTATAAAACTCTTTCCATCTCATATTTGCATACCATGGTGGTAAGCCTAACGCAGCGTCATTTGACATGGCAGTTTGCATTTGTACATCTGTTGGCACTTGACCATAGTTTGCCATTGCAGTTTGTATTCTAACTTCATTTGGAATATTCTCTGGGTTTGGTTGTCCAGGTTGCTGTGCATTCGCTAAGTTCTGTGCGTCCATTTAATATTAGATAAAAATATCTCTTACGAGTACATATGCTGAACATTTGCTGGTATTGGTTCATCTTCATATTCTCTATATCTTTCTGCCACGTCAAATAAGTAAATGACACAATGGAAAAAACCTAAAACAAGTAGTCCTATTTCAAACCACATTTACTTACCAATAAAATTTCTTTGTTATGACACTTTTCCGGTTTATAGGACCTCTCTCATATTCTATCTTATCGTATCTAAAATCATAGTCATGTATGTCCTCTAACCATCTCATGACACTTTCCAAACCACTTTTATCGGATGTAAAGTAAAAGCATGGATGGTTATGTAAAACGTCTAAAGTTTCTAAAGAGTCTCTCAAAGTCCAGTCTACTTGGTATTGAAAATCATATGTGTTATAGAACGGCGGGTCTACTATAAAGAAAACATTTTCCTTGTTTTTATATTTTTCATACAACTCTGTCCAACGACATCTCACAAACTCTATACCCTCAGTATATTTTTCTATGTTCTCTTTGAAAACCTTTGTATAGTTAAGATATAAAACTTTTGACATAAGTGTTTCAATGTCATGAACTCTTATAGCACCACTATACAATAGTCTAGAAGATATACTATCCCAGTCAATATACTCTGCTTTTTTCAAAACCTCTCTGACAGTATTTTTCTTATCTAATGGTATACGTTCCATCTTACCTATAGGTATCTTTTCTTTCAACTCACTCAATATTTTGTTTGTGTCTGGTATATGTTTGAGACGGTTCATATAGTTGTCGAAGTCATTGCATATAATCTTTGAGTCAGGAAATACAGTATGGCACAAATGAGATATATAGAAACTTCCACCGAACAAATCTACAAATGTTAGACCATTCGGTAGTTTCTTAAGTTCTCTCAATAGAATATCTTTACATCTACTCTTATTTCCAAAGAAGGGTAACGGTGGTTTTGTAAAATTCATTTTATATACAATAAAAATGTTTTTACCCTGAAAAGTGACAGAAAAGTGACAAAACATCTTCGGGGCTAGAGGGCACGAAGTGCCTGGAAGCCCCAAATACCTTTTTTTTTTTTTTTAACCATATAAATATATATTTTATATATTGTATAGTGATTTTTTAATATTTTTATGAGTAAAATCGAGAGTGAGGAAATGTTGACTACAAAAAACGATAGAAATGAATAGTTTACATGGAAATTCTATACTTACAAGTATTCAATGTCACTTTTGTGCTCGAGATTTTGATTCTAGTATAATTTATTCAAGAATCTCTTATAATTTCTTTATTAAAATATAGATCCATTAATTTTTTCACGCCGATAGCATTTTGTTTTACATTGACGATAATAGTTATATTTGGTCTTCATCTCAATAAAGACACTGAAGAATAGGAAGTTAAATTATTTTAGTAATATAATTCAAAATTCGTGTATACCCGTCTAGGTTTGGAAACTCTTTCGATACCACTTCGTAACTTAAACACGCTGCAATTTTTTTATAAACAATTTAAGGGTGCACTTACGCCCCTATGACATGTCCTTCAGATGTTTAAGGTTAATTTTCAATGGCGCTTCTCACCAGTTGTCAAAAATTTGAATTAAAGTCAGATGGGCGTGAGTGCAGCCTTAACTAGGAAAAGTAAATAAATGAATGTTGCGAAATACTTTAACATGGTCAGACTTAGGATAATTTAGATTAACTTCTAAGTCTTCAAAGAAGTTCTTATTTTTCTCAAGTTCTTAACAATTAATTTATCATAAATAACAGTATCAATCGAAATTGAAATCATCCTTACTAGTTTTGTCACTAAAAACAAAAACTTTTCAAACCAAATAAGAATAATACAATAAACGAAGCTTTTTGTGTCTTGACAGATTTTTCACCATATTCTTTATGCTTTTTAATATATTATTTTGTATGTTTGAGTTTATAAAGGTGAAAAAAAAAATCTTGAAAAATGTAATTTTGAATCCAAAAATGATTCCTAATATATATATATATTGATAAACTATGAATTCTATTTCCCTCCACAATATTTAACATATTCATCAAAACTCGATGGAGCTTTATCAAATTCTGCAGCCGGCAATATTTTTCCATCAACGATATAAAAAGTATTACTTCCAAATGTTCCTGGAAAAATTTCTTCCGCATAAATAAAAGGCTTTCCTGGAAATAAACTCTTATCTTTCGAGATTCCTACCAAATCATCGAACCTTGCAAAACTCTTTAAAAGAGAGTTTTGATTTATATCATCATTAATTTCTCTTTGTAAATTTATTTTTGAAACAAAAACAAAATTTTTAATATTTGCCACAAACCAAGTATATCTATCAGTTATACCGCCTTTTTCATTACCTATTAAAACAAAATTTTCATCTTGCCTCCTTAAAATTATATCTTTAATGGAAAATAGGTCTAAGCCATTAATTTGTTCAAAATTACATGATGTAGAAAACACCCCTCGCTCGTTCATTTTTAATTTAGACACTAGGCCTTCTACAGCATGATCAAGATGCATCTCTTTAGGAACAGGTGTATAACCGAGGTATGAACCCACTTCAACCACCACACGGAAAGCCTCTTCTTCAAAATGCTTTTTATCACTATTAAAATTGATTACATCCATGTTTTCCTCCTATTCTTTTTTATATATATATATTTGACAATTTTTCAATTTTAAAATTACAGATGCGCTCTTTTTTCCAAAAAGCGGCGAATGTTGTCTCGAGCAATCAGGGCCTATCCGGTTCCACCTTGAACATAGGTGGTACTTCTATCACTGTTGGAGACAAAATTGCTGAAGGCGGCTACGGATGCATTTATAGAGATAATGATAACTACGGAAAGACTTATGCTGTTAATTCCTCTAAACTTGATTTAAGAATTTATAAGATTTCAATTGCTTTATATTTTTATTGTTTTTCTATAAATAGAACATAAAAGTTAAACAGGAGTTCAGTGCTTTTATGTCAAGTCAATTAATAATCATACTATTCCAAGGAAATGCTAATTTTCTCACACACATATTTTTTTTCTTCTTTTATGACTCAGGAGTGTCCAAGTCTGGAGCTCATTCAGTTTATGCTCAACCAAATGAGTCCAGATAATGCAATATCTGTAAGTATAAATGGTATTAAAGAAAATTCAGAGCCTCCAGGAGTTATTTTTCTATATTTAAATAAAATTTACCAATTTATGGACAAACAGAAACCAGAAGATGTTGTTTTCCTTTGCTTGAAGGCAGCATCAAACTTTCATCCGAAAATTCACAGACGCTCCGCAACAATTTTGTCGAAATTGTTTGAAAGTTCCCCACAGTTACTTTCAAAGTTCTCAGAACAGATATCAAAACACAAAAATTTAGATTTTTTACAATATCTCGTCTCAAAAATCATTAAAACTCTTCCTTCTTTACGCGGCCTGAAAAATTTAGTACGAAAAACAACAGAACGCACGATAAATGAAATAGATGTTTCAACAGTCCCAATATACATGCAAAAATCCACGATCGATTTCATGGCAAGTTGCGTAAATGGAAATTTTCTTGAATATACAGACTCTTTGACCATTTTCAAAAAAATTCTCGATTTCTCTCCAGAAGTTAATTACAATCTCTTCAAAGTTATCCATATATTTTATCCATATTTCTTTAATGAAGTTTCCATTACAGATAAAATAATTCAACGTGTTGGCAACAACATGAATGTCATGATTATACTGGTTAGATTAGAGTACGACATTTATATGTACAATTCAGCCATTGAAAAATTTCCATCAAGTAAATTTCCAGAAAATTTTCCTCGTCCACGCCTTGTTGCCGGCAAATTCGCCAAAGAAATCATCAAAACACTACTCGATGAGCTCTTTTTCATCAGAGATCCAAGGTATCAAGCATATCAATCAATATCTCTTGATATCTTCAAAGTTTCCGGCGTTAACCCCGGCGATGTTATTCCACTGATTGCAGAACAGTACTCTATGCTCATGGATGACGATAAAAACCTTACTACAATACAGGCAATCATGTTATTGACTTCTGTCGGCTCCCACAGGTTCAATACTGACCCAGAAACGGAAAAAGGCATCCAGGAGTTTTGTAAACTAGCGTTAGATGATCTTTTACTATCGATGAAAGATGGAAAGAAACGAAATATCATGACAGCGTCATATGTTGCACTTTGCTACGTACTGAGGAGTTACGGAACATCAACAATGTGGAACCATATCATCAGACATATCGCAGATGAAGTAGATTTCCCTAGAGTCGACACATTTCGGGCGCAGTTGATTTACGAGGCCATTGAAAAATTCCATTGTAAATGTTTCAATAGGCAGGCTGTAAATTTTATCATGCAGAAGATCCACAGTAAAAGAGGTCACTCGGATGAGAGACAATTACTGGCTTCTGAGATAGAAGCGATCGTAACATCAGGGGATATCAATACTTCGAAGATATTAGAATTGATTCATTACCATTGCATTAGCTCTGCAAGCCCTTGGTTGCATAGTTTATCTGCAAGTATATTATCCCAAGGTGACCCATCAAAGCTGATCGGTAAAACAACATCGAATTTCAATGTATTCTTTCCTCACTCGAACGTTCCTTTGATTTCCGCATTTCGCTTAATGTGCGGTTTAATGCCGTCAATAAACAAAATGCAGTTCGACACATTAACGTCAAAAAGGGCGTTATCGGATGTTTTGACATCGGCATACGAAGGAAACTTCTTTTGGGCGGTAAGATTCATCTTATTTACTCTCAGAAGATTCGGTGATCAAGTAATCTCACATATACCTGGTCTATGCAACGAAATAGACAATATGGCATTCAGAAAAGAGGCTTTCGTGCCTCTTTGTATTACGCCGTTAGCGGTGGCTATTCAATTTTTGTATCCAAAAGTGCCAGAAGTTGGTCGAAAAGGTGACATCGCAATTCGTCGGTACGAAGAGAGATACGACAAAGGATGGACATGCGAACCTGACAAGATCAACTACCACCTCGTGGCATTGACAGAATTGATTCTTTGCGGCGCAAAAAGGTCTGATGGAACAACATTTGAAGATTCTGTCGACCAGATCTGCCAAAGCTTGTTCTGGACAGTCGAATTGCAGAATACTACGATTGATTATGCAGTTGGAATGATTGACGCGGTTTTTGTCAAAGGTCTCAAATTAAGTAAACCAATGATGCTGGTTTTAGCTCTGGCTCACTCAAAACAGGAGTTTAAAAAGCATATTGATGATGTCTACGGAAAAATTTTGTTTGAATAAATATATATTATATTATAGATCTTTTTTAAATATTAATATATTGTTTTTATCACTAGAAATCATAATATTTACATAGAACATTGAAACGAAATTAATTATATTTTATAAATTTTAAATGTGATTAAATTCAATCCAAATTTTGATAAAACTTGTCCAAGGTAATAAAAACTTGTAGCTTAGAGTGAATGAAATCATAACTAAAGTATCAAATATTTCTTATGTTATAAATTAAAGGAAGATATACCAGATGATCATGACATATTTCATCACAAAAACCTATATTAATATGATTTTGAAGATCAATTTTGAATTCACTATCATTCGTGATGTTTTGATATGTTTAGATATGGAATGATTAAGATATCGATCAAATATGAGCAATATATTTCTATTTTGTGTACTATGACATCAATCCTTTATGATTTAGAATAATTTTTTAGAAATATGTCCAAAAATGTTGATTTCACTGAATAAGTCTAACTATTTCCACTCTGAGTGTTGGTATATTAACTAAATGCATATGATCATATTTCATATTTTTTATATCACATGTCAACAATTTCAATGTTTTTGTTTTTCATCTATTTCTCGGTATCAGAAATTCCATTTGACTTATCTGGTAATAAACCAAACCTAAAAGAGCATCAAAGTCACGTTTACATTCAAGGAATCTGGAAAACTCTTTTAATTCACTTAGATGATGTAAAAACGTATACTTTTGACTCGAAACTTTATTATCAAAATCAGCAAGAAGATATACACGTTGTATTTTCACCAAATGAAATGGTTAAAAAACCATCTGATGGCGAATATCGGAATTATAAAGGACCGCAGAACGATTTAGCAGCCAATCTTTGGATATGTTCTAAAAATCAAAAACTCTGCATCGCCACCGGCTACATGGATGCAGAACAAACAACAATTCAATGGGATAAAACGTCTTCCAATCCACCTGAATACTGTATCTTCCATCTTAAGGGTTTTGGACCATACTCAACAGACCTTAAGATGATTTCTCAAAGTTCTACAACTCCTCCTGAAAAATTAGATTTAAATGCAAACAAAGTGATTACTTTCAACTTACCATGTCCACAGGTCAACATTTCATATGTGTCCTACCCGGAGTTACCTCCAGTTGATCCAAATATGCAGCCAATTCCTTATAATATCAATGATACGAGAGTTTACGAGATTTCTTCCGAAGAAACATACATAAACTTCATGATTTCCGACTTTAAGAGCGGAACTGAGTCCAAAGAGGTCAGTTTCAGTAGACAATTGCGATCATACAGTACATTCTACTACAACTTCATTAAGAACATACCATGTCCATCCGGATACGATTGCTCAGACTACAAACGTGATAATGCCACAGTCTGGTGGTGCTGGGAGAACCTTGATCGTAGAAAATTATGTTATCCAATTGCAGACATCAATTACGGCTTTACTGTCACGTCATCCGGCCTGTTTATCAACTCTAGTACCAGTCCTTCATACGGAATCTCGTTTAAATTCAAATGCGAAGATAATCAAAATTTAATTTTTGCCAAAACATTCATGGTTTCGAGTTTAGGCAATCCATTTAACCAGATAGAAGTCAAGTACAACATATTCTGTCCGAAAGACATCCCAGAAGTCGTTGTTGTGAAGAAATTCACAGCCGGAGCAGTTTTTATCATTGTTGTTTGGTCGTTCATTGTTTTCGGACTTTGTATTGGAATCCTCATCAACTACGTCATCAGTACGGAGCTGGAAATTCCTTTTTCGGAGTTTTTCTCAGCTGTCGGATACTACATCATCGACGGATGGAACAAAGTCACTTGCGCGCACTCCCAAAACAATGAATTCGTGATAGACGACGTCCAACCAATCCAACCTGTGTATTCAAGCATATAAAAGTGATTATATTTTTGTTAGTTTTATATAAGGTCGATAAAAAATTGAGCGTTTTTAAAAACCGCCGTTTGAGAGGAAAATTGTGAGCCCCGATGTATACTTTTTGACATTGTCAAAAACTTTGAAAAGAGCAAAAAAAATTTAGTGTCAGAAAGTTTACAAATGTATACTTTCTGACGAACAGACTCTCAGAAAGTACTCAAACTGCGGTTTTTAATTTCCGCACTTTTTTGGCGACCTTATAATAAAAAAATTTTTAATTTTCTTGTCACCTTTTTATCAGTTCACTTTCCAATTTAAGATAATTATTCAGCACTCTGTTTTATTATTAATAATATAAAATGTTAGAAAGTTGTACATGAACCCTTATCAAAGTGATGATATTTTTGTTAGTTTTATATAATAAAAAAAAGTAAATTGTCTTGCCATTCTCAAGATTGATCAACTCAATTTTGCTAAAGCACAATATATTTTAATTTAAAGATTTGTTTTTTATATCGAAATAGCATTTTAATGTCTTCAAGAATGACATATTGCCTATGACAACAGTGCATAAAACACTCTTATCAGTCAAAGTTCAGCATTCGTATTTTGATTTGGCATCCTCTTGGAATAATACTTAACTAAAAGTTTAATTAATGTCTCAAATAATAACATAATTCAACAGGATTATAATTGATATTGTATTTCTGGTCTTAGAGAGATATATAGCATTTGTCAAGATTTAAAAAGTTTATAATTAATAAAATAAAAAACAAAAATTATTTAAATAAAACAATATATAAAATTAATTCTTTTTGATTGGAATAGGCATCAAAGGACCGTCATCAGGAAGTTGTGCAAGCTTTAGTGTTGTTGTCATACTTGAAGAAGTTCCATAAGTGTAAGTTGTATTTGGAGTATCAATTGCCGATGTTTCTTTCTGATTTGCCATGAATTTAGAGAAAGGTTGAGGAACTCTTCTGAACTCAGTAATTGGAGGTTGTGCTGGAATCTTATAGATGTATTTACTATCATCTGATTCTTCCTTTTGTCTTGTTGGCATCAATGATGTCTTTCTTATTGGTTCTTCTACACTTTCATATGTATAAGTGTATGTCTTTGTGTCTGTATCTTTTTGATTTTCTTGCTCTGATTCTTCATATGATTCTTGTTCTGATTCTTCTTCTTCTGATTGATTTGATTTTTGTGATTCATCATGAGAAACTTCAATGAAATCTTCTGAATGATTTGTTTGTTGTGAATTAGTGACTGAATCAATGATTGTTGATCCGCTTTGTACTTCATTTGTTTCTGGAACAGCTGCAAATTTAGAAACTTGTTTCGGTTTTTGTGGTGGAGATAAAATATCTTCAACAGTTGGAAATGTTGATTCTGAATTTGTTTCTGATTTAATTGTATTCTTTTGTGTGTTTTCTTCTTGTGTATTTGTATTACTAGAAGATGTTTGTGTTCTTCCTCTTAATCTTCTTGGAACTTTCTGTTTAATAATTTCTTCTTTTTCTGGAACTTTTTCTGCTTCTTTTTGAACAGAAGAAATTGACTTATTATCTTTGTTTTCTTGGCTTTGAATTGTATTTGTGTTTGTGTTTGTATAAGTTTGATTTGGAATTGTTTGTGGTTTGATTTCTTGATATTGATATGGCTTTTGCTGAGTTTGTTTTTGTTGACTTTGTTTTGTTTCTGAAATTGTATCAATTGAAGTTGTTGTTGAGTTTTGATTCATGTTGTTGTTTTGAGGTTGTTTTTGCTGATTAATATTATTATTACGAGGAGAAGAAATAGTTGGTTGTCTTGTTTGTCTTGATTGAATTTGTTGAGTTTGTTCTTGTTTCTCTGGTAAGTTGTTGTTTGATTTATTAAATGGTTTCGTGTATTCGTTTGGTTTAAGTTGGTTTGCAGGTGTTGGTTTGAAATCAGGATCAATTCTTCTTTGTCGTGTGTTTCTTCTTGTTTGTTGTGGTTTCTCTTCTTTCTTTGGTTCAGGAGAAGAGTCGTAAGTTGGAATATCAGCAAATGGATTGTAAGGATCAAATGTTGATGAATTTGGTTCTGGGAATTTGTCTTTTCCAAATATATTTGTGAGTTTTCCTTTATCTTTCTCTTGTTCCAATGGTTTCTGTCTTTGAACAGGTGAACCTTCATTGTTTTGAGGTTTTCTTGGTGAATATTGGTCATATTCTGCTGAATCTGTGTTGTATTCAGCTGTGGATTCATAAGAAATTGTTGGATGTCTCACGTTTCTTTGGTTATTTCTTATATTTCTTGTTCTTTCTTGTGGAATATTCGTCATCTTACTTGGTAAATTATTTGTCTTCTCTTGTGGAACATTTTCTGACACTTTACTTGGCAAATTACTACGATTCTGAGCAACTTTACTTGGCATATTATTATTTGACACTTTACTTGGTAAATTGTCATTTGACACTTTACTTGGCAATTTATTGTTATCTGTTTCTTTTCTTGGTAAGTATGAACTGGAGAAAGTTTGTTCGTCATCCCATGTAGCCGTTTCTGTTTCAATTGTGGAGTGAGATCCGTAAGAACGAGAATTAGGAGGAACTTGTTTTCTTGAATCGGTGTATCTTGGATCTGGTTGAGTTGAAACTTCTGATTCTGTCTTAGTGTTTGTTCTTCTTCTCCTTCTTTCTTGTGGCTGATTTTGCTCTGGTGTGGATGATTCAATCTTTCTGTAGTTCTTATCGAAATCAAATGGTTGTGATGAACTGTCAATGTTACTATCACTTTTCTCATCTTTCTTTCCAAATCTACTTTCTTTCTTAGGTTCTGGTAATTTCTTCCTTCCTTCAGCAAACCTTGGTTGCCAATGTTGTTGTTCTTCCTCTTGTGTACTCTCTGTTGTATATGTGTAACTTTGTTCTTCTGGTTTATTCTCTTTTTCTTCAATTTTTTCTGAAGGTTTGTTTGGACTTTCAATTTTACTTCCCCGGGGAACTTCCCTCTCTTCTTCTGCAGATTGATATGAATATTCAGATTTAGTTGATGGCTTTTCTGAATATTCTGATGTGGAATAACCATAGTTTGATAGAGAAAGATCATCTTCGCCACTTAGTAAGTTAAGATTTGCAGGAGCTTTTGATTTGTACTGTGGAGGAACATATTTTTGTTGTGTAAATCTTTCTGGAACAGATTTTTCTTCTTTTTCAACTGGATTTTGTTTCGGACTTTGTTTTGGAGTTGATTCTGCTGTTGAATATGTGTAAGAATAAGTGTTTTCTTTGTAGATATCAGATGACAAATCAAGAGATGGATTGTTTTGTCTTTGTTTTCTTGAGAAATCAACTGATTCTGCTTCTGAATCACTACTTTCTATTGTTGAATTGTTTTGTTGTTGTTGTTTCGTTGGTTTCTGGCCTAAGATTGCTGCCAATACTGTTGGATTTTGTTTTCCTTCTTTGTTTTGTGGTTTTTGCTGAGAAGTAAATCTGTTCTTTTGTGTTTCATCTTCTTTAGATTTGTATTCAGGAATAGATCTCCTTGTATTTCGTTGACTTGTGTTATCTTCTTCTGTTTGATACGTGTATGTATCAGTGTTTGTTGTTTCTGTACTATCTGTCTTTTGTTTCATTGAAAAAGCAGCTAACAAAGGAGATTTTGATGAAATATTATCCATTTCTTTCGTTGTTGGATCAACAGACATATAAGTATATGTTGTTTCTTGTTGTGGAGCTCTCGACATCTGTGATTTAACATTATCAATCTCTTTAGTGTTAGGAATAACTGATGTATAAGTGTATTCATGTGTTGGCTTTGTTTTTGTGTCACTTTTCATATCACTTTTTGTTGATGCAGTGAATGATTTTTCATTGTTTTGCTTTTCATCATTTGTTGATGATGAATCGATATAAGAATCAGATTCAGTTGCAAACTGTGGTGGTGGAGGTAATTTACTCTTCTGATTTTGTGTTAACTTGAAATCAGAATTAGAAACATCACTTTCGCTTGAAACATCAGATTTAACTGGAGATTTTTGGGATTTATTTGTTGGGGATTTCGGTTTTTCTGAATCGGATTTCATCTGGTTAAGCTGTTTAAGTCTCTCAAGATTCTCGGAATCAACTGATACTGACTCATAAGTGTATGTTTTGTCTGTTTCATCTTTGGGAGGTGCCAATCTTCTGTCGATTTTTGGTTTTTCTTCTTCTTTTCCTTCGTAAAATGGTTCTGAATCGATTTTATTCGCGTTCATTTTATCCCAAGCAGAAGCATCTTTTCTTTTATCTCTTGATTGACCGTAAACACCTCTACTTGTTGGTGGATGGTAGTTTTCAAGATCCTTTGGGGTGTATTTTGGTAAATTGGCCACTTCACTTTTATCAGCTCTTTTTCCATCAAATGTTTGTCTGAACATCGTTCCATCAGGTCCAACATTAATAATTACATTGTCAACGTAATCATTTTCGGAATCCTTTGTTGAAGAACTTTGTGATAAATCAAGAGATGGTTCGTTATCAGCTTCCTTTTCTTTCTTGAAAGCATTGACTAAGTTCTTATTTTCTGATGTAGAAACATCATCAATCAGTTCACTTTCGTCAGTTGTTGTCACTTTTCTTCTTTGACGTCTTTTTTCTGCTTCCAATTTTCTTTGTTTTGATTGTCTGATGTAATCATCAATTGAGTTTTGGGAAGGATTTATCACTGATGGATTTACAGAGAAATTCTTGGGTTCTTCTGATGATTCAGAATCAATTGTTGAATTGTTTCTATTTGCTGATCTTTTCAGTTTTTCCCATGTACTTAATTCTTCATCAGTCTCACTTTCATTTTGTTGTTTTTGTTGTTGAGCAAATCTTGATGGTAATTTTACGGCTGTTCCTGTCTTTTCTGTTATTCCTAGTTTCTGTGCTTGTTCAGGAGAAACAGAAACAGATGCATATGTGTAACTATCATTATCAGAAAATGATGATTCAACTTCTGCAAATTTCTTTTTCGGTTTTTCATCATTTTCACTTTCTGTTTCACTTTTTACCAAATTATCTTTAATTTTTGGTAATTTTCCTTTGACTAATCTCATGAAATCTGTTTCACTTGTTTCAGAGTCTTTCGTTGATTCAGAATAGGACTCAGAAATTGTATCATTTTTATTCATTGATTCCCAATCTTTTGGTTGATTTCTTTCTTTAAATTTCGATTCATTTGAAGGTAATTTATATCTCTGCATTTTCTCAATTTCTTCTGGAGATTTATTGGAATATTTATCTGTTTCTGGTTTATTAATTGTCATCTGGTTCAACTTGTTTTGAATTTGTGAATCAACAGAAACAGATTCATAAGTGAAGTCACCTGAATAAGTATTTGAAGAATTAAGCATCGATTCCATCATTGATTCATCTAAAGAAGCCATTTTTCCTGGTGGTTTACTTGATATTGCTTTGGCCAATGAATTTCTCTTCACCTCACTTTTGTCACTTTTCTCAGAAGAATCACTAGATTTCGATGAAGATTTTGGTTGTTGGATAAATCTTTTTGAAGGATCTTTTTGATTCTTTTCCTTGAAATTAGCGAAATCTGATGAATCATTGTTAGTATCATAAGTTGTTACAGTGTCAATAACTGTATCTGTTGATTCTTCTACTTGTGCAAATCTACTTTTTGGTGCAGTTTCTGTTGTTAGCTTTGTATTTGTTGAAAATGTTTGTTCTGGTTCACTTTCCAAACTTTCTGATTCATTTTGTTTGGATTTAATGAATTTGTTTGATGGTTTTGGCAAATGTTCTTGTTGTGAAGGAATTTCTGATTCTGAATCAGTTGTTTTGATTTCTTGGCCATTAACCATATCTTCCCAATTTGGCTTTTGTCTTCTGTCATTAAATGTTTTGACACCTGACCCAGAATTTTCAGAAGGTGTCAAATTTTTCATGAAATTCTTTCTTGAATCTTTAGACTCCTTTGATTTAATTGGTTTCGTCATTTGTGACCATTCACTTGAACTTGCATCGATTGATTGACTTTCTTCACTATCATTTTGTTGCTGAGAAATTGTAGATCTCTTTGGAAATTCTCTTTGATATTTCTTTTGTGAAAGTTCTTCAGCTTTGTTTTGTCTTTCGATTGATCTCTTGATTTCATCAGGAATTATTGGTTTTCCTGTTTCATCCAATGTAACTGTTGCATAAGTAAATTCATTGGAATAATCTGCAGTTGACGATTCATCAGAAACTGTTTTTTGTTTCATGGAAATTGCTTTTTCTAATGCAGTCATCGGTCTTCCAAGACTTTGTTCAGAAACAGTGTAAGAAGTAGTCGAATTATCTTTAGTTCTTCTTCCTCTTGTTCTTCTGTTACTTGACTTGGAATTTTTAGATTCTTTGTCACTTTTTGAAGATTCATTACTTTTTGTAAATTCGTCACTTTTTGATGGTTCAGAATTTTCTGTTGACAAAGAAAATGTTGATTCTAACATATCTTCACCAGCAATCTTTTTATTTTGATCCATGAACTTATCTTTGTTTTTATTTTGATCCAAAAATCTGTTTTGATTTGAATCTGTTGTTTTAGAGTAAGAATTTGTATCAATTCCTTTTTCTTTTAGTTTGTCTAATACAGGAATATGTCCATTCTCATCAATTGATACTGTTGCATATGTGTACTCTTCATCACTGTCACTTTTTGACTGATTCATGTATTTTTCAACTTCTTTTTCTATTCTTTCATCATTAATTATTGGTTTTCCTGTTTTATTATCAATTTCTATTGTTGCGTAAGTGAAATCGTCATAATTATTAGCAATTGTTCCATCGATATATCTCTTAGGAACGAATTTTCCTTGTTGTTCAGGAATGAATTTTTGTGCCCAGTCAGGAATAAAAGTGACTTCTGGATTTTCTTTTTGTTTTGACTTTTGTTTTTCTACTTCTTCATTCATTAACTTCTCGAAAGCGTTTTCTTGTGGAGGAACTTTAGGAAGTCCTGTAATAGGATCAATTGTAATTGTTTCATATGTATATTCGCCACTTTCTTCGCTATCAATGTTTGAATTATTATTATCAGTTTTTGTAGCATATAAACTAGCGAGTTTTCCATCACCAATTTGTGCATTTCTATTTCTGACATTTTGTGATTTGTTACTACTTTTTGTACTATCAAAAGTTTCACTTCCATTTGAGCCATCTTTGGAATAATTGTCACTTTTAGTTATGTCACTTTTATTTGAATTAAAATCTTTGTCACTTTTTGGATTAATTTCTGATTTTGTATTTGAATAAGAGTTAGTATCATTTGTTGTTGATACAGAAATATCTTCATCAAGAGTAGAAGTAAGGAGTTCTGCTGGTTTGAGAGTTTTATCACCAGGACCTTTGATGTTTCCATTTGCATCTTTATGAATAACATTTGTTGTGTAGTCAGAAATCAAAGGAACATTTGATCCATCTCTATTTATTGGATTTCCTTGTGAATCAACAGTAATTGTTTCATAAGTAAATTCGGTTGTATCATCTTGATCTTTCTTTCCAAACTTGTTTTCATATGTATCTGATTTTGGTTTTGTTAAATCAGTGACAATTCTTCCTTGTGAATCAACAGTGATTGTTTCATAAGTGAATTCACTTTCACTGTTTTCTTCATCACTGTCAATTTTTGTTGAATTTGATTTCTCTGAGTCAACAGATGGTTTCGCAAAAGCTTCTTGTAACTTTGTAGCTGTTGTTGGACCATCGTATGAATAATCATTGCCAAATGTAGATGAAGGAGGTGGTAAAGAATCAATTGGATGCATTGGATTTCCTTGTGAATCAACAGTAATCGTTTCGTAAGTGAAATCACTTCCATCAATGTCAGAAGAATTCTTAGTCTCAACAAGAGATGCTGTCAAAGGACTGACTATCTGACCATTCTGATCAACACTAACAGTTTGATAGGTATAATCAGTACTTGATGAACGATAGCTGTCACTTTTACTATAAGTGTCACTTTTTGAGTAATTGTCACTTTTTGAGTAATTGTCACTTTTTTGAGATCTTGAGTAATCATCATATTTATCGATATCTGATGTTGAATAAGTATTTCTTTGTTGGAATTTTTGTTCATTTGAATTGTCACTTTTTGGTGAAGATGTCACTTTTTCACCCGAATTTGTATTTGAATATGAACCGTTTATCATGTAATCAGATGTTGGTAAATTATTAGTGTTTTGGAGAGATTCAGAGTAAGAAACATTGGAAGTAACTTCTGATTCGATCATTGAATCAGAAATTGGCTTCATATTCGATGAAAAAGAGGAATTTTCATATGATTGCTTGTTGGAATACATGTCATATGAATATGTTGACGTGGAATATGAATCTGTGGTCTTCTGTCCACCATATGTGATAACAGCTCCTGATTTTACTAACGGATCTTCGAAATCTTGTGATTGATTTGTTTTTGAGAGGTTTCCAGGGTAAGAACTTTCAAGGGATGGTTCTTCGTAGGATCCTGATTGGCTGCTTTGGTTGTTTCTGCTGGATTTGTCCTTTGGAAAAGGTAATCTTGGACCTCTCGAGTTATCACTGTCTTGGGAAGTTCCATCTGTTACAGAACGAGGTCTGGTTGTTGTAGTTGTGCCTCCTCTTGATAATCCTGGTGTTGATCTGGAGCCTTGTGACCCTGGATACTGAGATGATCTTTCTTCAGAGTAAGAATATGAATATCTTGAATCAGAACCATCTGTAGATGTAGTAAAACGTCCTGGATAATCGGTTTCGAGGGTTGGTTCATCTCCATTTGTTCTAGAACGCGATTGAGTATTTGATGTAGAGGATCCTCTATTTGTAGCGCTACTTCTTGTATGTGTTGATGTTTGTGATGTTGAAGAACCACTTCTGGTGCCTCCACCTGGATAAGCAGAACCTTCCGTGCTTTGAGTTCCAGAAGATTTTGATCCTTGTATGGAAGTAAGTTCTGGATTCATAGTAATTTTGCGAGATCGAGATCTTCTTGATGTAGATCCACGCCTTGATGATGACATTGTTGTTCGAATTAAATCTGAAGAATTTATTGAGTCTGTATTAGAAAATCTTGATTCATAAACATCCTCTTCTTCGTAATATTCCTCTTCCTCTTCAACAACCATCGTAGAATGTCCATTCAATCGAGAATTTCCTGCCATAACTTCGGCATCTACTAATTCTGGACTATCTGTTGTAGAATATGTAGAATAATCTTCTTGTTCTTCAAGCATAAGTTGTCTTTCACGTACTCTAGCATCATGTTCAAGACGTCTTTCTTGTCTTGCTCTTTCTTTCTCTTCACGAGCCATTCTTTCGCGTTCCATACGCTCTGCTTCACGAAGAAGACGATCTTCTAACGCGCGCTTTTGATGTGGATCCATCTCGAAGCTAGAAATTGTAGTTGCGAGTGTAAGATCTTCTCCATCATATTCATCATCGGAATCTGATGGTGGACGCGGTAATCTCTTCGATGGAATAAGAATTTGCTCAATGATATCCGTGATTTCAGGTAACATCGTTGATGGAGGTAATGTTGTATCTTCTGCTTCACGCATTTCCGCAAGTTGCATAACAAGGTTTTTCTTTCCATTTAGTTGGAGGCATTGGCCTAGATAATCATTATCGTATTTTCTACGTAAGTCTCCGTTGGATTCTGTAATTCCTGTTTCAATTGATGCATCAAATTTGTGCAATTCAAGATATTGCATAACAACTTCTGCTGCTAATTCATGCGCTATAGAATCAGGCTGTTTATTATATGTTTTAAGTTCATTTATATCAGAATCCTGAACAGCTTTCGTTAAATCTGGCATTACAGAAGCTTGAGCATGCATGATGCAGCCATTGTCCATCATGGAATACAAAATCTCCTCTGAAACGTCATAACTATTGGAATTCATGATATCTTTTTTACTTCCTTAACGGTTTTCAATAATTTTTTCTTGATCAAAAATTTTCATATTCTATCGGCGTGAAGAACCAAAATATACATATACATATATAGGTGTGTATTTTCTCGTTTAATAGCGTACTTTTACGTGTCATAAACTGAGCAAAATAGAAAAAAACACATCAGAATTTCCTTGAATTTCAACATTTTCCGCATAAATACTCGAAGTATATATTACTGCATCCCGTGTGTCTTTTGTAGATGCCATTAGTCGAGAAAATTCCCAATTTGATTTAGCATTTTCCTAAATTCAGGTATCCAATTTATAAATTACTAAACACATGAGATGATACATTACCCATGGTCATGTAATCATGCCCTACTAAGACTCAAAATAAAGTAAACAATAAAAACTCGAATGAAGATAGAAAAAATTTACATAGCAAACAAAAATCAAATATAACATGATTATATAAGAAATTAATAAGCTCTTGAAGAGAGAAGTGGAGCTTCGATAGAATTAATATCGACGCGACAATGAGTCTTTTGTGACTTGGAATATTTGAAGATATCCATTTGTGGAAGTACTGGGATGACTTGTGGAGCCTTATAAGCTGGTTCACCATTGGATAAGTGAAGGATGATTCTGCAAGCAACATGGTCCTTTGGATTCTTGCAATCAACTTCCAAAGTATTAAAAGTGACCTTTTCCTCTGGGAGGTATGAAATTGGAATGTTCAATGTTCCAATGAGTTCATTATTAATTCCAACTTTTTGATAAAGTTTGATTGTAAATGAAGCTCCAATCTCATTAACTTTCAAGTTATATGACTTCTTGATGGCGGAAGCATCAGAACCTTTGAAAAAGTTTGTACGACGAGCACCGTTTTGGTCATTAACTATCTCGTAGTAGTACATTTCATTCACACGCTTCTTGGCGTTGTTGAAATAGAATCCTTGGATGTGGAAGTAGATGACAGACATCTTGGAGATATTTAACTGTAAATGAAAATCAAAGCTATGAAATTTTTGAATACAGCCAAAACTTTTCAAAATAAATTGAATGGACGGTTGTTTTTGTTTTAAAAAATGATGAATATTGAGTTGATCAAAAAAGGAGAATATAAATGAATAAAAAGATCTGGGATAGTGTAAAATTATTCTTAGGAAAGTACGTTTGGCGTAAAATTAGATTTATTATAAAATATGTTTATAATATCGAAAAGGAGTCGATTTATTTTAACAATAGCCAATAGAAAGTTATCAAAAATTGGATTAATTGAATTTGGATATTTCAAAAGAGATTTTACAATATCATATATTATTTGTTAATTAATTAGAATCAAAAATATTATTATGATTCGAATGAGCGTAATGTAAAGATTCAATAACTCATAGAAAATGAAATAAGAGAGCTCAGAATTTGTTTTGATTAGATTTTTTGAGAAAATCCATTGGTAAATATGATATAAAAGGTAAACAACTTAAAAATTGACATATAAAATTGAAAATTCTATGGTACGATAAATATTCGTTCAAAAATTATTCCACATAGTAATCAAAAACAATCAAATTCCAAGCAAACCTAGTTTTTGGACAATTTTTGGGGTCTTATATACTCTTATAATAACATTGGAAAACTATTAATTGTTGATCCAAATTTTATTCAAAAAATAAAAATTTCCTAAATATGATTTGATTCAAAGATCATTTGTTGAAAAGTGCATACTCATCAACATGCTACTTCAAGAATTTCTACATTCGGAAGAAGGATTTTCCTTCAATATTTTATTTTAGATACAGAACAGATAATTGATACTCCAGGGCGCCAAGTTGAATTATTTAGTATGTTAGATAAAGAATAACATTTTCTTAATATTTTTCAAAAATTATTCAATCAAAATTTTTCTAAAAATAATTTTGAATAGTATATAAGCCACTATCATGTTGTTGATAACTAGGAATATCTTTTTACTTAATTGATCAGTTGTCTTTTTTTTTGACATGTAAATATTCTGGCAAAAAAAATATAAGAATCATAAGTCCAAATTAGCAAGAATTTCACATTAACTTTATCTGATTTTGATGATAACATGTCATCGATTAATGCGGTACTTAAGGATTATCTTTCAAAAGATAAAATCTTTATTACAAATCGAGAAATTTCATCCCAGTTGCACTTCTTACAAATAAATTATTTGATATCACATATAGACTATAAAATTAACATTGATTTTAACGATTCACTGATAATTGGGACAAATTTAACAAATCCAATTTTCGCAAATATCAAACACAAGAATTTAAAACTGATCAATGCCAGATTTATCGGATTTAAATGTCAATTATTCGAAAATATTCAATCAAATATTGAATTGATCAACATTTCAATTGAAAATTCGTCATTTGAATCGGTATCATATATATTTACAATGCAATACAACATAATAAACTTCAGGAATCTTACAATTTCTGATAGTTACTTTGATAACACTGCTTTATTTGGATTCCATTCAAGTAACTTTGAATTTGATACATTTACTATTAATAATTGTCATTTTATCGATTCTTACTTAGTTTACTCGGTCGATCAGGTGAGTAAATTTAAGAATTTTAAATTTTCAAATTCAAATGTGTCAAATTCGAAATTAATTTACATTAATGGGCAAACATCATACATGAATAGCTTAGAAATGATGAATTCAAACGTGTATAACCTAACAGGAACTAATTCATATTTAATCAGCTCAGACTTCTTTATTAAAATTGAAATAGAGCAAGTAAACTTCACTAACGTTAAAAATGTTCATTTATACAATGGTCCAACCACTGATATCATTATCAAAAATTCAAGTTTTTCAAATTGTGACTTTGAAAATTCGTGGATATTGAATAGAATTGGTTCAATTGCTACTATTTCGAATATATTCATCCAAAACTCTAATTGTATGAATTCTTTTGTTAAAATTCGTTCAAAATCAATTTCATTTAACAGCATTCATGTTGTTTACTCGAATTCTGAATATTCATTACTATCTTTGGACTCTAGTAACTCGTATTTAACTGATTTAGATGTTTTTGGTTCAAATAACTCAGGAATTAACCTTTCAAACGGAATTTACAATATATCAAGATGCAACATTAGTAATATTCCAATAGGAATCCAATTAATATCATCAGAATTGTCAATTTTTGAAAGCGAATTTAGAAATATATCAAAAGTTGGAATTTCTCTAGATAACAAAAGTTTAGCACATGTTGGATATAATTGTCATTTCAATAATGCTCTTGCAATGAATACAACGACGAATTCAACAATTTCAATTTTATCAATTGGAGAAAACTCTGGATTTATTGTTAGAAACACATTGTATATATCTCTTAATATTCAGCAAGAAACTTCTCTTATGATAGACGAAATTATTTTGTTTATAATAATTATTATTTTATCTTCTATTCTTTTTAGGAAATTTGTTCAAGTGAGTGAATATCATAAGCTTCCTCTTGTATAAAGATCTAATATAATTACATTTTACTTTTTTATGATATCAAATCAATTTCTTTCATTATAGTAAATGTTTGGAATGTGAAGTTGACATAATAACTGCTTTTTTAAGTTACATGGTTTAAATTAGAACAAATATGATGTATATAATTAGAAGAGATTCCAAAAAAAAATCATATAGTTATTCGTATTACAAAAAATTTAGAGGAGAATAATAAGTGTAATTCTAGAATGAACTCAGTATAAACAAAGTGCATCAAAAAGTTTAACTCAACATGTACAAATATAAGATAGTAATATTCTTCATATTGTTCTATCTTTGTTTTATGGTGAAGATTTAATGATAAGAAATCCCAAAGCCCAAATTGAAAATATTTTAATAAGCATTTAAAAAATAATGTTTACTTTCATATACATCTGAATCAGAAGATATTAAAGTATCAATGGATTCATCTTTGTTGTTGTGATAGAATTAGATTCACCGAATGGATCATATCTAAATCTGTCTGAATTTTAGGAACCATAATGGTAAATTGAGGAAATTTTTCACTAAGATGATTCACTAAATTTTGAATCTCTGTTTCTTCTTCAGGTGAATATTTATATTTATATTGTCTCTTCTTGCATTTCTGGATTGTTGATAGCAATTGTTGAAGAATTGTTGTCTCTTCTCTTGAATTTATCATATCAAGAAATGCTAAATCATAATCCATAAAGGAATATGTATTGTAAATCCAGATAACAAAGAATGGAATCTCTAAGATAATATGCTTAGTCTGGTAGGAAAAATTAAAAGGTATTAAAATGATAGTGAAATATTTGCATAATAGAATCAAAAACATAGATTTTTCATAAGCCGTGTTTCCTGAGTTGAAAAATTGTGCATAATTAATGTCTCTACACATTGTATTTATATATTCTGATGGTGTAACAGCCTTCACAATTAAATCTGATATAATGAATAGAGAATCCATGCGCATATTGACATAAATATACATATCTTCCGGCTAGTAGTTGTATTAATTATGTAAATTATAAATCCTATTAATATACACAATATATAAGCCGAGATTTGCAAAATATATGATTTGAAAGGTTTCAGGCAGAAAATATGAGTAGAATAAAATAATGTTCCTAGAGTTGCTGTTGTTGAAATTATTATGCATTGAAACTCAAATTCCCAAAAGTCATGTTCTTCATTATTTGTATTAACAGAGTTTGCATTCCAGTAATTTTTAACTGGATATGATGTTAATAGTTTGTAACTAATAGCCATTAGAAAAACGATATACTTACTAACACGTGACCATGGAATATCGAAAAAAATTATCCAACCAGAAAAACTGCATCACATGATAAGAAAATTCTTCAAACTTCCAAATGGTAGGCATTTTCATCTCTCTTGTGTCAAGAAAGGTACCAATATTTTGAAAGTTAAAGGTATATTTGAGGTTTTGGTTGTTGCAATTAACAATTATTGGATAATAAATATTGTCCATCATTACTTTTGTGTTCCATTCAGCATAATTATCATTTTGCACTTTGAAATTTAAATATGTGCTATTACTTCGATTATGACAGATTTCTTGATCTTTCTTTATCCTTTTGTATTGTACTTTATATTGCTTTTCATTAAGCAATAGAACTGTTGTTCCTGAAATGTTTTTGCCTTCAAACTTTATAATAAACGTTGCATGAGCTAAAAGTCCAATATCTTTTAGGGTTACCATTGCAGTTGTATTTTTGATAATGCCAGATTTCTCATTAGATACACTAAGCCAACTTAATACTGACCGCATTGCTAAAAATGATTGATAAAAACTTTTATTCAAAATTGAATGAGTTTCAAAAATTCTAAAATTATAGAAATTAATTGTATTCATTATTATATTTATTATTGTTTTTTGATATAAATTATAGGGATTACTCAAAATTGAATATCGCATTGAATTTTTTGACGTTTATCATTTAATTTATTTCCACAATCACAAACAACTGAGTATTAGCCATGTTTAAAATGCAGTGAATAATGTTTATATTAGCATTTGAAGACTTTTGCTGTATAAATTTATTCTAAATTTCAGTTTAGAATTTTGGTGACGAGGCCCGATCAATAGATTTAATTAGCAATGATAATGGATTTATTTCGTTATCAGTTTAATAATAGAATCTTAAAAAGAGAATTCGATTAGACCTGCCAATATAAATAATTCATAATATAAATACTAAGGTAGTTGCCCATGGAGGTTAAAGATTGAAGCAATGAATGAAAAAAAAAATCAAAATTGCGAAATAATTTTTTTTATCTTTCATATATAAAATATAACAAATTTCAACACAAAAGGAGATACTAAATCTACTAATTAAGATGATATGAAGCAAACTATGTTAAACAGAAAATTAAAATTGACTAATTGTAGATAATTTCGTAACTTCACTATTTTCGGTTCCTGTAGCAGCCAATCTACGTTTCTTCAACTCTAATTCCAACTTTTTGTGTTCCTCTTCGAGTTGTGCTAATGCAGCCTCAATAAGTTCAAGTTCTTCAATGTCAGCCTCATCAACATCCATTGTATTAAATCTTTGCTGAGCACGGATCATTTTAATTTCTCTTGTTTTAGTTTCTAATTCGGTTGAAAGTAATTCTGCTGTGCTTTGAAGGTCTTTGTACCTGGTCATAGCGATTTTGTTCTTTTTATCTGCTTCTGACAACTGTTTGTTCAGAGATGAAGCTTGTGAACTGACCTTTTTGATATCTAACAGAATATCGTTGTTTTGATCAGTAATTTCTTTCAGTTTTGTATTAACTTCTTCAATTTCAGAGTTTAGCTCTTGTATTTGAGCATCGATCTCTTCTGACTTGGCACGAAATTGGTGATCTTGTTCAATATGTCGATTCGTTATTTTATCTAATTGTTCGTTTGTTGTAGCCATTAATGTGGATATCTTTTCTCTGAGCTGTGTGTTGCTCCTTGTATATTGTTCACGGATACTTGCGTTTGCTTCAAGTTTAGAATCAATTGCTCGTCCTAAACTTTGCAGAGCTTCATCTATTGTTGTGCATTCTTGGTCAGTACTATTAGGAACAACCTTAGCTTGGATTTTCTGTAAACCTGAAATTATATAATTTTCGAGTGTATCTGAATTTTTAAGCGAATCACGGAGTTCTTCGAGTTGTTTTTGTAAGTCACGATTTTCTAAAGCAATTTTCTTAAGATGAGGATCTAAATCCAAATTATGAGGAGAATTATTATAAATTTTTTGCTTTATGCGACTATATTTCTTAAATACTTCTCCGCCATCAAGAACAGCAATGATTTTTTCAGCTAAATCTAAGCATTGAAGTGTATTTTCTTGCATTGCGACCGTTTACTATGGAACCCGAATTAACTATTATACCCCCTTTTATTGAGAATATTTTTTTTTTCATGAAACTCCCTGTTTTATTTAAAACTCCAGAGAGAAGAGTTAATCTTTTATCAAGTATTAAATCACTATTTAAATACATCAACAAGAAATTAGATCGTTTTGTTATTTTAGGAATTTCAGTTCTACTTTTCCTAATATTACAGATACCTGTTGGATGCATGATATGCATTCGAAGTAATACTCGCCCATATGATTCAGGAATAGTATTAAAAGATTCAGTTCATAAAGCTTTCGATTTCAATTCAAGCACACTTAACATTATGGTGAAATCCTTGTCATTTATTATAAGAGGAATAACCATGATATCATTCTTATTCTATCAATTCCCAGTTCAAATTTTTCAGAGATTCTTTTTCACATTATCCATCTTAACGTTCATAAGGATACTATTTTTGTCAAGTACATACTTCCCTGGTCCTGCAAACCATTGTAATTGTGTTCCTCCCAAAATTTACAAATTAAATTTTGGTACAATTATTAAGAATTTGACGGATTTAGATGCTTGTAACACACTATTTCCTGCTTTTATTTACATATCTATTGTTTGTGGCTGCTTTTGGTCAGCCTACTTACATCCAACGATATCTCAAGTAATTTGCGGTATTGTATTCCTAATTTCCTTCTTAGAGATTGTCTCAAGAAGAGCCTATACATTTGACGTCCTCATGACTGGAATTATTTCAGTTGCAGTTTTTGAATTGCTTCAAAATTGTTTTCCCTCGGATTCTGAAGAAAACAAGAAACAATAAGTTATATCTAACTTTGTAAAATAGTTAATAAAAATTAATAGTTAAAATTACTTAATTTAATAAATAAAATTTTATATCATTATTCTTTTAAAAATTCTTCCCTGTTAGGTGATCCAATGCAGTTCTTGATTCTTGCAGCATAATTAGGAAATTGTTCAGTAAGTAATTGAAATTCAAATTCCGGAATTCTTCTTTAAGATCAATTAACGCATTTAGAGAATACTCTAGCTTCTCCACCTGAATGTTTTCATTTATAAAATTAGTTGCTATTAAACCAAGAAGATCATCAGATACTCTAATTTGTTGAAAAAGTTCAGATAATTTTTGAGGTATTTTTCTGTAAATTGTGAGAAGACTGAAGCCCAAATTGTATCCAAATTGGAATAACATATCTTCAAACATGTCATTATGCTGAATTATATATTGAGCAATATCAAACAAAAGCTCTTCATCATCAATAATTATACCCATGAGTTCATTAGCATCACTATGCTGCTCTAAATTATCAATTCCATCAATATGCTCTTAGATGAAATAAAAACAACATTGTAAAATCTCTGTGCTCGTATGGCCAAATGTCTTAATGAGGATATTGAAAGAATACATGCAATCTTCTTCATATCCATTAATAAATTTGTATATAATTTTTATTGTTTGCTCTCCTAAATCTACATGATCTTTTTCAGCGATACTAATGATGTTTGCGAGAATACATAGCCATTTACTAATGTATGGTCCGATTTCGTTGGAATTTAGCAGTACTTCGTGCAATTCTGCAATATCAGGGAAAATTGTTGGATTTAGATTTTTTGATACATTCTTCATTACATCAAAAGTAGAAAGAATGAAATCTGATGATTGCCCTTGTAAAAACGAAATATCCTCAAGTGCCAGTTTGGCATCTTGGAGATAGTTTTCTTTATCATCAGTTAGAAAATATTATTAATCATTTCTTCAGTTGATTGCAATAAATTGGTTATAATGTTAAAACTTTGTATCATAATGAATAACTCATTTAAGTTATCATTCTCTCCATTTGGAATCTTATCAAGTAACTGTTCAAAAGGTAGCAATTCATTAATATAATTATTTTCAAGATCCATTAAACATACATAAGCTTTTCCAGCATATATTGGGCCTGATTCTGTGCTTGATTTCATAGCCTCTAAGGTAACTTCTGCCGCAGCTGGGAGAAGTCTGTTTTTGCCTTCTTCCTCTGTTTCTTGATTGTAAACATTCAGCTATAAACATTAAGAAGAGTGAGCTTAATAATGAAGTGTATTATGCATCAAGTAATTCAGGCAGAATTCTGTTATAAATTAATTCAAGGTCAACTTGCGAATATAAAATATCAGGAAAACGCATCAATACCTTGAATCCAAAAATAGTGCATAAAGAATTTGGAAAATATCTGGAGATTGACTTATGAGCATTGACTCATCAAAATACCATTCTTTTTCTTTCTAGCACTTCTAAAATAAAAATCTTCAAAATAATATTGGACAGAAATTACAAATAATAAACAATTTAAACTATCAACAACGCACAAACAAATAATATACTTAAATCAGAAATACTATAATTTTGGAAGTCGACAATTTCCAGAAATAGATCCTCTTCTTTGTCGAGCAACCTGGCCAGCCCTTGGAATAAGTATTTTAGATGATAATTTCAAGGCAACTGGCTTATGTAAACATGGAATGAATGAACCTTTTGAACCGACAGATAAAATCTTTTCGTGTGGGTTCATGCAATGAGCAAGTGGTATTGGGGTATGACCATCAGCGAAAAACTGTGAATCTCTGAGCATTAAAGCCGATGGTCTGTTTTGTGGATTAATATCCAGCATTTTCTTTATCAAGGAAACTAGAGCAAGGTCAACAATTGAATCAAATACCGGATCCTTTCTGTTTCCAGATCGTATTTCATCATCTGACCAAGGAAGTTTTCCAAAAGTCATCTGATAAAATGTAACGCCAAGGGCAAAAATATCGGTTTTAAATGGATCGTATGCTTCCTCCTTTAATACTTCGAAAGCAACATACGCTAATGTTCCACAAGGTTGGTCAACTAATTGATGAGGTTTAAGCCAAGAACAAAGATTAAAGTCTGCCAATTTCGGACGCCCGTATGCATCTACAAATATATTGGATGGCTTAATGTCTCGATGAGCGAAACCTCTTGTGTGGCATAACGATAAGCCGTCAAGTATATCGTGTCCGATATTTTGGATTTGACGTACTGAAAATGATTTCCCAGCATTTACCATGTCTTGAATCGTACCTCCAGGAAAATATTCTAAAATAATAATGAAATAATCTTCGCAGAAGAATTTATCAAAAACACGAATAATATTAGGGTGGTCAAGGTCTGTAAGTGCATTAAACTCGGCATCTACAATATCACCATTCTCTGCAACGACAGATGAATCTATTAAAGATACTTTTGCTGCGAAAACTTGATTATACTTATGGCTTTTGACGGTATATACTACAGAATAACTTCCTGCTCCAATTATGTCAAGAAAAGTGTAATTATTAATCACTGTGGGTAACTTTTCTAACATTGGAAAAAAATTGTTTTTCATCAACTCAGAAAACCAAAATCTGACAGCTTTTGAAAGGGGCTCAGAAAATTCCAAAGAAGGATTTCTTCATTTTATATAACTTTGTGAGGAAATAAATTTCGAGTTTCAAAAGAAAACAGAAGCTTCCTTTTAAATATTGGTGTTTATTTGGTTTCTAGTACATATGATGAAAATCATAAAATGAATTTTTACATCAATAAAATTACATTCTGCAAAAGTAATAGTATTCACAATACCTAAAAAGATAAACATGAAATTTCATATTTTTGTCATCTTTATTATAATTAGCCGGCAATTATTCATATCAGATAATATGTATACTCACCTATTTCAATCAAATATAACTCTAATAATTTTTGTGTGAAGCTTTTAATTGAGATGCAATTCAAATCGAATATTTTTATTATTTTGAAAAACAATTACCCTCGTATATGTAGATTAAGTTATTCTTATTTTTTTCAAATTGTGATCTGCGGAATAAAAGTTTGAGACAATTTTGCAAATTACCTCAGACTATTTCAGAGGATTGAGTTGCCACTCAATCCTCTGAAATAGTCTGTGGTAATTTTTAGTCTCTACACTATTTCAATATAAGCTCCATTTTTAAACAGTTTTTAAAAATCGAGCATTGAAAAGTGTGATGAGACATTGCGATTACTTTTTGTTTTCAAAAGTTCGAATTATTCCGATATTAGTATGCAATAATTAATTCAATGACTTTTATTTAACTTGAGCCAAATTGTAAGTAAACAAATAATTGATTTAGTAAAATACAAAAATGATTAGTTGTATGTGAGTTCCATAGCTTTTATTTTTTGGTTTTACATCACTTGACAAGATATTTCATTTTCTTTTGTGATCCAGATCGATATCTCATGAATGAAACACATTGAATGGCATTATTCAATTCCACTAATATTCTTTGTAATATCGTAATGTGATTACATTCCCTTTCGATATTCTATCACTGGAAAACATAACAAATTTTTCAAACTCATTTTCTATTATGATAATTAAGTTGTCAATTTATCGATGTGAATCCAAAAAGATATTCCAGAATACCTTTTAGTCTCAAATATATTCTTTGTATGATTTATTGATTGAGGATTTATAAAAGATGAAAATACAAAAATATTTGGGGTAGATATATTATTTGTCAAGGAAATATTGATAAAAATAATGTAAGAATGTAACGAATAATAAGATATGAATGTCTTCGTATAGATTCTGAAATGTCTCTGTATAAATTTGTCAACTAATTTATTTTAAATTATCAGATGATCAAATGGGTCAAAGAAAAGACAGAGTAACTTAAATTATTAAAGCAAGATTAAAGTGCATCAATTACAAACATCAACAAAGAACTTCTGGATTGAGACAACAGAGATAATGGTCCAAAAGTTCATATCACTCTTCGAATAGTAAATCAATGATTAATTACTTAAATCAAAGTTAGAATGAAATCATTTCTGATGATTCTCAACCAATTCTTGATGAAGATGAATATTCCTATAATATAAGGCATGATTCAACTGAAAAGAAGTCAATGGTTTCAAATTTTACCAAACAAGATAACGAAGAAGAGGATTCATTCATTTTAAGTGAGGTTGTATTTGAGAACAAGAAATTCTACAACCAAAGGGATATAAAAAATTAAGAAAATAAGATGTAATTAGTAACAATTTTGATTAACTATACAAAACTTAAGAGCTATGATTACCAACATATCAAACCAGTAATTTTTAAATTAGTTGTAATCAAAATCAGATCATCTGAAACATCTAAAGCTGAATTAACTAACGCATCATCAGTTTGTTAACAAAAATAGAATTGTAGAAATTTTACTTATGTGTGAGCGTTGCTTATTGTAATATTTATATTAAATCTAAGTTTACTTAATTCACAATTTATTATTATTTGATTTTTCAAAAAAAATTACATGAAATTAAAAAAGACATACTCGAATGCGGTTTAATTTTCATTTATTTTAAGGAAATAAAAATATAACGGCTTATCATATTTATGACCTGAGCTCTAACAGTTAATATCGAATACTTAGCGCAAAATATTTCACCATATATCGATCAAAATAAACTTTTTGATTTATTTGATCGGGCAAATATCGCAAAAGCATTAAGAAAAGCCTCACTTAATTCAAATGATTACACGAGATTACTTTCTCTAGGAAATTCAAAATGCAAATTGTCCGAATTATACAATTGTGTACATGAGTGCAATGTTTTGGTTAATTCATTTGAAGATGCAATCAATATTCTGAAAAGCTACAATAATGTTCTTAAACTTAAATCATCATGCGGACTTATTGATTTCTTTGAAAAATACAAGACAGTATTCGTATCTGATTTAGGATCAAAAACTAATATTCAAAATCTTCAGTTAAAGTTATCTAAACTAGAAAATGACAACCTTCAATTAACACAGTCCATCAATGATTTCAAAAGCATTTCCCAATTACGTGAATCAGAAGATTTCGAAGAAATTTACAATTTATTTAAAAAATTTTCAGAAATAGGCTATGAAGAAAAAATGTCTCTTTCGTTGGCAGTCAAATTAGATGAGAAGCAAAATGATGGTGAGCAAACTCCACTCCTTCACTCATGTCAAATGGGTGATTTACATTTAACGAAATCCCTCATTGAAGGAGGTTGTAATAGAGATGTAGTTAGTAAGTATGGAAATAACTGTTTAGTAGTTGCATCCAACTTTGGACATATTGACATTGTTGAATATTTGATTGAAATCGGTTTTGACATGAATTGGCGAAACGAAGCTGATGGATTTAATGCAATACTTGTTGCATCAGAAAAAGGTCATCTTGAAATTGTTAAATATCTTGATAGCATTGGATGCGATATAAATTCTAAAACAAATACTAATGCAAATTGTATTTACTTAGCATCATTACATGGTCATCTTGATACAGTCAAATATCTTATTTCGTGTGGAGTTGATCCAAATGAAAGAAATAATAATGGATTTGATGCAATACTTGCTGTATCACAAGAAGGTCATCTTGAAATTGTTAAATATCTTCAGAGTATTGGATGTGATGTAAATTCTAAAACAAATAATAATACAAATTGCATGTACTTAGCATCATTTAAAGGTCATCTTGATACGGTCAAATATCTTATTTCATGTGGAGTTGATCCAAATGAAAAAGATAATGATGGATTTAATGCAATACTTGCTGCATCACAAGAAGGTCATCTTGAAATTGTTAAATATCTTCAAAGTATTGGATGTGATGTAAATTCTAAAACAAATAATAATACAAATTGCATGTACTTAGCATCATTTAAAGGTCATCTTGATACGGTCAAATATCTTATTTCATGTGGAGTTGATCCAAATGAAAAAGATGATAATGGATTTAATGCAATACTTGTAGCATCATATGCAGGTCATCTTGAAGTCATTAAATATCTCCTAATGAATGGGTGTAACAAAAATGATAAAACCAATAATAATGTTACTTCACTTCATTGGGCGGCTGCAAATGGTCATCTTGATGTTGTTGAATTTTTAATTTCAATTCGTGTCAACCTTAACGAAAAAAACAAAGATGGAAAAACAGCACTTGATTTAGCAAGAGAAAATCAGGATCAAAATGAGAATTACGAGGAGATAATAAATCTTCTTCTTAAATCAATTTAAATTTACTAACTATTATCATTTTTAAAAGTATTAAATGTCTCTTTGATCTTTTTATTTCCTGAGCGCACTAAGCAATCTTTTTGTACTTTAAAAATTCTCAAAAAAATTAATGGAAAGTAGAGATTAAAATATCTTTCAATTTATCTCTCATGTAATAAAAATTTTGAGGCTGCGCTCTTAAATGTCCCTATGTTAGTGAATTTCATCTCATTTTTGAAAATACTCTCAATATATATTGAATTCTGATGTATTTTATAAAAAATTGAATTTTGAGTATAATAAAGTTGAATTGAAACAATTATTTGAGCAAAATAGTTTAAGAGAAATAACATTCAAATTTGCTAATTGAATGGATACTGAAACTGAGAAAAAAAACTATAGAATTGAAAATTCAAGTTAAAAGATGCGTGTTGAATGCTAGAAATAAATCATAAAAAATAAATATATTTATATAAAACAAATCGATAATAAGTCACTCTTTGTTCAAAAAGTTTATGAAAAGCTTACAATAATAAGTGTTAATTATAGATTGATGCCATGAAACCGACAGCTAACAGAGAATCTCTAAATGGTTGTCGAGGTGGATCCTGATTTGTAATAGAAACATCTTTTTCTTCTATTTCACTATCTTCTATGTTGCCACTAGCACCCTCAATGTATTTAAAACAGCTTATACCTAAACTTCTTTTGATTAGAGTGCATTTTGAGCATTTTTGTTCATGCGATTTTGTTTGGAACTCGTCCTCTGTGAGTACTATAACAGTTTTGTTACAAAACTTAAGAAAAGGATAATTTTGTGTTACATAAATTCTTGTTGCAAAGTCATATATATCTCTGACTGTTGCTTCATGTGTTATGTCTGTTGTTCCGGTATAGAAAACTTCAAAGCAACGCTTGAAAGCATCATCTGATCTAAATCCTGATCCAATAATAATTTTGCACAAACTATTACTGATTAAGTTAAATGTTTGAACATAAAATGTTGATGGGAACTTAATAATTTTCAATTTATCGCAGGAATAAAAAACGCCAGTTCCAAGATTACGAACTAATGGTGGGATTTCAACATATGTGAGATCTGTGCAATTTTCAAATGCATAATCATACATATAAGTTAATTTAGCTGGCAAATTAATGGTTGCTAAACTTGAGCAATATGCAAAACCTCTCTTTTTGATATATTTTAATTCTTCAGGGAATATAATATTTGTCAAACTTGTGCAATTATAAAATGCATATTCTTCTATTACAGTTACATTTTCTGGTATTTGTATTTCTTTGAGGGATGAACAATGTGCAAACATACTATAACTAATAGTTGTTAAATTATAAGGAAACACAACCGTTGTTAGATTTGAGCAACCAATAAAAAGGAAATCTCCAAAGTCAAGTAAATTTGTAGGAAAGGTAACTTTTGTTAAGTAAGGACATCCTGAAAATATTCTACTGTCAAGAGATTTTAATGTATCTGGAATAACGAATTCTTTGAAACCACAACCAGCAATAACTCCTCTTGCTAGTCTTGTAATTGCACTTGGAATATTGATATTTCTCAAACTTGTACAGTTTTCAAAACAAAATGATTCAATATATGTGATATGTGAGATATCGATTTCTGTTAAACTGTAACAGTTACAAAAAGTTTTGGTATATAATTTATCAATAACGGATGGGATTGTAAATGTCTTAAGACTTTTACAATCACGAAATGATTCTGGAGGTATGTCTGTTATACCTGCTGGAAATGATATTTCTTCTAAACTTTCACATCCAACTAATGATCCAGATTTAAATTTTGTAACTTTTGGCATATCAAGTTTAATCAAACTTTTACAACCATACAAACACCTAACTGGTAAATAGTTAATGTTAATGAATATCTCTTTGATACTACTACAATTCAAAAAAGCAGAATCCCCTATGAAAGTTAATTTAGAAGATAAATTAATTTTTTGTAAATTGAAACAGTTTTCAAATGCGAAGTAGCCAAGAAATTCTAAATTTTGTAAATCAGGAATATCAGTCAAGTTATAACAATTTTCAAAAGCGTTAGATTCAATTGTATTCATTGTATTAGAAAAATTAATAAAACGCAAATTATTACATCCATAAAACGTAAGGTATTCTATTGTGGTGACTGATTTTGGTAATGATATCGTTTCAAGACTTGAACATTTATAAAAACAGCTTTCTCCAATACGTGTAACTGATTCAGGAATATTAATTGTTGATAAATTACTGCAGGAATAAAATACGCTAGAACTTATATCTTGTAAACTCTTGGGAAGAATTACCTGATTTAATTTTGTAAGACCAGAGAATGATGTATACTCTAGTGATGTAACACCTTCATTAATATTTATATATTGAAGATTGAAAAAATCTTTAAAGTAGTTAGAAGGAATTTTTCGTGCATTTAAAACTGTTAAAGATATGATTTGTGCAGAGTTAATTGAATTACTGCAAGATGATGAAAAATCTATAGAATATGTTCCATCGTCTCCTGTTTGTTGAATACAGTAGCTCATCCAAATATAATTTGAGAAGAAAAAATTGAATTTGGTTGTATTAAAAATTGTCTGAAGTATTATAATGTGTTGCCAAATACATTATAAAGAACTTTTATTCAAAAATTGGCGATTGGATTTTTGTGAGAAACCGAAAAATACACAGAAAACTAATCAAATGAATTTTGAATTTAGTAATATTAACAATGAGAACCAAAAATAAAGAAGTGTAAAAAGTGTATTTTGAATGTTGTAAATTTTTGAAAAATATTGACAGATAAATACATTAATATAGTGGATGCTTAAAAACATAGAAAGTTCATCAATAAAATTAATGAGTTCCTAACCGAAATTTAGAATCCGCAAATTTATAATTTATTATTATAACATGATTGGATGTGATTTATCATATCGATAAAATCTGAACGATAGTCAAAAAAATGGATGAGAAAAAAATCAATTTGTGCATTATAATAATAAATTTTAGATAAGGGTTTCGTTTTGCGAAAAAAACGTACAATACGCAATTTCGCTAAAAAAACATTTAGCTAGCAATTTCGACCTTTGACTCCACTCAAGACGTCACTTTTTTAATTTTGCGGTATCATATTTTTGGAAAATCTTTATGAATATTATATAAAAAGTCTCTTTAATATCTATATTTCATATTTTTATCGATTTTTAAAGTTTTTGCGAAAAGTATTCAATTATTTTTGCTATTTGGTCGGGTAAATGTCAGATTTGCGACATTTTCTGATATGATATTCAGATTCTACATTGATAATAATGCTTATAGAACCCTCTTGCTATTGTGTCAAAATTGCGAAACCGATAGCAAAAATATCTCGCAATATCAAAATTGAGATATTGAGTGAATTATGCATTATAGAGATTAAAAATCTGATTTGTGAAAACATCTCATCAGTTTCTAGCTAATTCAAAAATCTTTACTATCTTATTCGATTAAAATGAAAAGGGAATAGTTTCATTATGCTTTAAATGACAGCCTTATAATATAATCATAGTTTTCGCTCAATATGCAGCATTTTTTTTTCGAAATCTATGGTCAATATCCTAAATACTGATTGCTTTGCATTCATATCTCTTACATTTTCTATACCCACATCACTATTCATTGCTATTCCTATCTTTTTCATTTTTGTTTGTTTCTCATAATTTCTCAAAAAACATGATAACTTGATATTTGTAAATATCATACTTTATAACGTAAATAAGAACTTGACCTATTAAGAAAAGCAGTAATGAAAAGAAAATCTGAAATTCATAAAAATTACAAGTTTCTGATGACAATTAGCTTAATTAAACCAGATACAAGATTATATAATTGTATTTTCTATCCAATTATCCATATAATATCTTATCCAGAAAAAATAACTTGATCAATACCAAATGATTTTTTAACTAGTAAATAAAGTATTTTCTTTACACACACATTGTATATCATAGTTTTTTTTTGGTTTCGCAAAACATCCAAAAACAAATATGCTATAAAAGTGACAATTTTAGCAAAACGAAACCCTTATTTTAGAGAAAATATTCGCAAAAATAAGGCTTAACTTTTGTTAACTTTACAAAATTACAGTTTAAGAGTAAAATTTGATATTAATTTTAAATTAATATTATAGTGTAATAGCCGATGAAAATCTAAAACGATTTTAAAAAAAACGTATAAATAAAATTTAATCATAATCAGAAGAAATTGTTATCTTTCTTGCAACGAACTTCTGTTCTTTAACATGAAGTTCTAAGTTGGAATACTCCAATGGAGTATTGCCTATTTCATTCTTTGCATTTGTATCGGCGCCATTCTCGATCAAAACAGAAGCTGTTTCAATGTACTGACGCATTAATGCATTATGAAGTGGTGTATTTCCGAAATCGTTGGCAGCATTGCAATTTCCGCCGTATTGGATGATGATTTCGGCTGTTTCCTTTGAATTGTAGCTAGCAGCGAAATGAAGTGGTGTATCTCCGATTTCGTTCTTTGCTGTGATATCTGCGCCATTTTCGAGTAAGACTTTAGCGCATTCGTAGCTGTTGGAACCAGCTGCGTAATGTAATGGTGTTTCGTAGTTCATTCCTCTGCAGTTAACATCTGCTCCTAAGTCAATTAATGACTTTGTTAAGGTTGGAACAAAGAAATAAGAACTCATCATGAGGTTCTTGTCTTTATCGCGACCCATATCAATAACAATCAAGAAGGCACCAAGATTGTTGTAGATTGAGCAGTCAAATGAGTCAACTGAGATCGTTGAGTTGTTAAGAATGTAAATAATGGAATCAAGGTTATGAGATGCTAAGGCATATATGAAGCATGAGTAGTCTGGTGGGAAGTAGCGAAGGCATTCAATAAGAATGGCTACACTTCTACCAAGAAAAGCAAATTCAAGGCATTTGCGGGTAAGGGCTACTTCATAGTTGGATCTTAAGAACTTGAAGATCAACTCTGCACCATAGTATGCGGACCATTCGATCAAATACTTTCCTTCGATGTATTCATTGACTTTGATTTGGTCTTGGTGGACAAGATCAAGGAATCTATCAAAGTCATCGTTCATAATGTAGTAAAGAGCAGTGCCTTCCTTATGAACTTCAAGGATTTGGTCAATGGTCAGATCAGAATATTTTCCGAGGCGCCAATTCATGTCGTACTCCTGGTTAATGAGGGCATCAAATGGATAATTGAACTGACCCTGCTTCAATCTTGGCTGAAATTCCTCAAATACCATCTTGAATAACTCCCAGTAGCCTCTTGTGTACTTGTCGTTGAACTTGCAGGCTTTCTGGATGGCTTGAAGTAACTGGATGGCTGGAAAGTGGTACTTCCTGATTGCGATTTGGGTAATTGATTCGAATAATTCTTTGATATCATCGTAATCATTGGTGCTGAGCTGATAGAGATAATCAAAGACCTTGATGTAATCGGAATAGCGCTTATTCATGCCTCTGTAGACATCAAGACATGGTGTTTCTTCTATTCCCATGACAAAAATGAGATAAAAATCAGAGCTCTCACAAAAATTAAAACAAATATAATTTGGAAATATTTCATATACATTAGTGTGATCAAATGTGAATTTCCCATATGGCTTATTTCAAAAAACCGAAAACCATGAGTTTTTGACCGTTTATGTGAAAATTCAATGATTATCCAATTTCAGTACAATTCTACGAAATCATCGATCGTTTATGGCGTATCTAACTTATCCGCCTATCTATGTGAATAAATACTATCAAGCTGAAAATTAGGCTTAACTTCAGCGACCAATAGATACCTCAAATTTCTCATGAAATATTTTGAGAGTGATTTCTCCCACAAAAAATTATTTTCTGAAGATATCGGCAAAAATCAGCTGATTTGTAATCTACCGGAATTTCGATAATAATCACTATTTTAACACTTGTGATATATACAATAATACCAAAATCAATCAACGTTACATTCAAAATCTTTATTGACAATGAAAATATCGAGCCTTCAAGAATTTTACTACGATAAATAGCTTGGAAAGTACCTATATCAGATAAATTATGATTTTATTACTTTCAAAAGATCAAAATTAATTTATCGTGCAAAAAGATCATTGATTAAGTATCTGAGATTTTGTGAATACATATGTTTCAAGTAATACATTAATTTCTTCTGATAATAATTCCTATTTGATGATCCAAAAAGGAAAATTGGGAAAATCTTGGAACCGCATTAATAAGAGAATCCCCAATTCTCTAATATTTTATATAAAAACTCTTATCGTTCATGTTTCATGACGACAAATCCGAAAATATCAAGTTTCACATAATGAAATCTAAATTCATAAAAATTACTTAATCTATATGTTTATTAACAAAGATAATATTATATTTGATATCAAATATCAATAGATCTATATCAAAACAAAAATATATTAAATAGTTGAAACAGAAAAGAAGGAATGAGATCCTCTTTCTGCGTTAATTGAACATATCTCTTGTTCTTTTATTGGTTTGTCTACAACAATTGTCAATTCGACTGTTTTATGTGCCAAAATTCCTGATTTCGGAGTAATATGGATAAAATCAGGGACAACACCAAGCTCCCACTTGCCAAATGATATGTTTTGGTTATAAATCGAAAACGTTTGTGGCTCTCCGACTTTCAAAATTAAATCATTTGGTTTTGAAATGATTTTAAGCTGATTGAGCTCGAATATGGAGTCTATATGCTTATTTTCTTCATGTTTATACATTTTCATGCGTTTTTCGTCAGCTAAAACTATATCAAAAATATAATCTGCGACAACTGGTCGATGATCAGAAAATTGGACGTCATACGATCTGTATTTGGCACATACTGGCTCTGAAGGATAATCTGGATCAGTATGATCAGTTTTTCCGGATAATTTCATTCGATTATTACAACAAACAACAGGAAGTGCTGAACTCTCAAAGTAAAGGTCATCATTAAGTCCTGTCCATAATTTTGGTTTGGATGTTCGGATCAAAACTCGATCTGTCCATGAAGGAGTCCTTAATTTTGCTGATGTATCATAAGTATTACAGTTTTCATCGAATTTAAAGGTTGGATTGAAGTTTATTTCGCCTTCTTTGAATTTTCCAATTATATCGTCTGTTCTCATTACGTTTTTAAGTTGATCATTTTGCAATAATTTTTGATAATCTTTTTCTTTGATTAGATTTAAGGTATCATGGTAAGGAAGATCAATTCTATAGTTCAGATCGCCAAATACTACGGTGTAATCATCAATATTTTGGTCAATTTTTGATAAAATTGTTTTGAATTGGAAATTTCTGTCTTCTAAACTCTCAGTATGAGCTTCAAGATGAGCTCCTACTACACACATCTTAGTATTATCAATCGTTAGCCTCGAAACGCAGCAAGATTTGTTTGCAGCCAAACCATTAACTCCTAATCTCATTGAAAACAAATTTTCTACAGAAATATAATGTCTTGAATCCGAGTTTTTGAAAGCAATCGTAAAAACACCTCCTAATTGATCAAAATAAATGGCCTGATAGTTATACCACGAAGCAGCATCGCATAACCTATTAATCCACTCTTGTTTCAGGTCGGAACCTCCAAGGAGAATGGCCTTTGCTGAAAAATCTATCTCTTCGATGGCTATATAAACAACTTCGGACCCAGAAGCGAAAATGAATGAAATTTCTTTGGATGTCCATTCTGTTGGTACTTTTTGTTCAACATTCCATGTGAGAAAACTTATTTTAATTTGAGATTTTTGTAAAAAATATCCAGAATTCAAAGTTAGATTTCGGCTGAGAAATGTCTTCATTGAGTCAGCAAAGTAATGGATTGGGAATAATGGAAATGTAGGGTTCTTGATTTCAACAGAGTTAATTGGTAAAGAATAAGTCAAATAGAATGGTGTATTGAAATCATTATGAGGGCAGTTATCAAAATCTGAAAGGAATGAACATAAGTTGATTTGTGTGTTAATTAAATTTGCAGCTAGGAAATTTTCTAATTCAATTTTGATTATTTTAATCGAATTTTCTGGTATAAGGATAGTAATTGTGTTTTCATCTGATGAAGAAGAAATTAGTTTCGTTAATTGTACAACACAGTGTACTTTTCCATCAAGAACAAAAATTAAATATCCAAATTTGAGCGAATTTTGATGCAACTTGATCAACACTCTAATGTTTTTATGATCAGGATATATTAAAGCTGGTAAATCTATCCATCGCCCACAATTTGCTATAAATTCTTCCATTCTTCTATAAAAAAATTCTGAAATTTGGAAACCCAAGAATTTATCATTATTCTAAACATTGGTAAGAACAAGCAAATAACACTTTAAAATTCAGATCTCAATAAGAAAAATAAATTTGTCATTAGATTATCTAGCAATTGAGTTTCACAATCAATACAATAACTTAATTTTCTTCCCACAAGCATAAATTTATTATCCAACAATTGAATTCCAGTATGAAAACTATCTTATTAAATTCTGCGCGTCAATTGTCTTTTGATTCAAAAAAAAACATTGTTATAAGTGCAATCACTTCCATAATAGGAGTACTTTCGATATTAAAATTGTGGATTTACTATTATATTGATGTGCAAAATATACGCACTAAATATGTGTAGCACTGAGAATAATTTCCTGAATGTCAACACCTTATATAGTTATAAGATCATTAATCAATGGTAATGTAATAATATTATAGAATGAAAATGCAAAAAAAGAAAATTATTTTGGTAAATAATACAACAACAATAAATTTTTTATTTCTTAGACTTCTTTGAAGATTTACTTGCTTCGGATGCATCGTCACCATCCTTCGATGAAACAGATTTCTTCTTTTTCGGAGGACTTGCAGTAGAATCTCTTTTCTTCGATTTCTTCTTTTCAGATGATTTAGAAGCTTCAGAACCAACAGAAGTTTGAGAATTAACATTTGGTATTTTTCCTGATGAAGTTGTTTTCTTTTTCACAACTTTCTTTTCCATTTTTCCTTCACTGAAAACTATGAAGTCAGGAAGTTCTTCCAATTTATCAATTTCACCAGTCTTAATCATTTCTTCGAGTTTCTTGACTTCTTCTTCCAAGAAATCAACTTCTTCCTTCATTTTTTGTTTCTTTTCTGTATTCTTTTGTTGAATAGTTTCTAATTTTTGTTTTGCTTCTCCAATTTGATTTCGGACTTTCTCTGTTGCCTTTTTGTTTTCATCTAAATCTGCTTTAAGTTTCTTCTCTTTCTCTCTTAATTCCATTAATTGTGCTTCGATTGTTTCGTTCTTTGAAGCAAATTCTGTTTTTTCAAATTCCAAATTTTGTTCTTTTTCAACAATTTGTTTGTGTAATGTTGATGTTTCGTTTGACTCTGCATCCAAAATACTAATAGTTTTCTCTTCAATTGTTTTGATCTTATCTTTCTTGTTCGTGTTTTCTTTGATTAATTCCTCCAAAATCTCGTTTTTCCGCTTCAATTCTGCTGATGCATATTGCATCTGTAAATATGTGTTTCTTGCTGGTTGTTTCTTTTTCCTTTTGAGTGTTTCGTTGTTCCTTGCACATATTTCATTGAGAGCGTTAAATGAGAAGTGGTTTATCTGTGTTCCGCTGACATTAATTTTCAAAATGTGACGGTTTTCTTTGAAAATTGTTTCGAAAACTGTTCCTGTCTGTTCTAAGAAGAAATTATTGCACATTTCGAGAGAAATTAATGACGGACAAAGTATTGATGCTTCTGCAATTGCTCTTCCGCCTTTATCTGTGATCATTGCCGTTGAAAGATTTAATGATGAAATTGTTTTGTTAGAACTAAGAACAGTTGCCAGTGCTAATGCTGTTTCATCACCTAACTTGTTCTGTGATAAGTTCAAAGTGGCTAAAACTTCATTCTTATATAGGGCATTTACTAATGCGACACCTCCTTTAGTAGTTATCTGGCAATTCCTTAAATGTAGCTCTACAATGGTTTGATTTATCTCTAGAGCGTGTGCAATTGCTTCAGCTCCATCGTCGCCAACAACATTATCACTTAAATCAAGATATCCGAGATATTTTGTTTGTTCAATGAACTTGGCAAACTTAAAAGCTACTTCTGGCATAAAACAATTATCGCTTAAGTCGATATAGAATAAATGAGGATAATCTCCTTGTTCATTTGAGTTTTTCTTCTTAGTTGGGTTTAACAAATAATCAGCAAATGCAACGCCAAACTGATATTCTGGTTTTGGACTTGCATTCAAGTAATTTGAACTAAGATCTAATCTGATTAGAGTAGAATTATATCCTAATCCATTTGTAATGAAGTCTGTCGAAAGTATTGGTCGAACGTCAGCTAATTTCTTCTTTTCTGAATCGATATTATTCGCACTTAAAAATTTCAATGAAGAAGACTGAGACAAGAGTTTAATTAAAATGGATTCAACAGGTTGGAATGTAGATTCGGGATGCATTGTAAAATCGCAGCCACTGACTCCGAGTGTTTGGAAATTTGTTGATTTTATAATTGCGTCAACAAGGATAGATAATGTTGCAGGAGTGATAGTATTTGCATGCACTGCTTTTTCGGTGATTCCTAATTGTAATGAAAGTAAGTGATTTGACAAAATCATGTTAGCCATGTGATTCGCTGATTTATCTGAGATATCATTACATCCAATATTCAGAGTTTGAATTCCTTTGTTTAATTGTATGAAATGTGCTAGAATTCCTAAACCTTGATCCTTTAAAGAGTTGCAATAAACATCAATTTTTCGTAAATCTGTTCTATTTCGACTGAATTTTGCAATAGTATTAGCAGCTGCACTTCCAATATGAATCGATCGTAAAATCATTGATTGTCCGAATACTTTGTTCTTTAATTTGGAACTGAACCTGAAAAATTCCTCGCGAGTTGGCTCTTCTTGTGTATCTTTACATCTAGATACATATAACTCTTCAAGAAATAGTAATTGATCTGGAACTTCCTCTTCTTCTGTTTCCGCCATTTCTACGCAGGAAATTAAATAACGTACAATAAGTAGGGATAATAATTTCCCATCAAAATAGGATTTTATGCATTACATTGCAATGGATGAGAATTTTTACTGAGAAAAATGCAAGAATTCAAGAAATTGAAAGATATGAAATTCCAAAACAACATATCCCAAGTTGTGTATCTAACTAATCGATTTAACTATTTGAATATAGAAATTATTTCATGTTGTTTTTCCAATTAACAAATTTTTCTAAGTGAAATAAGAAAAATTGTATACATTTCATTGTATAAAACTATGAGATCTGCTGAAAAATAGGGTGTATAAAAAGAACTCAAACAATTTATAATAAAAACAAAAAAATCAAACAAAAATTATTCATTTGGTGCTTCTTCTCTAGGAGAATTATTCTCAGATAGCTTCGTTGTAACTTTTTGTTCCTCAACAATGAGGTCTTCCATAGCCATCTTTTGTTGATATCTAACAAGCCAGCCTCTAACATGTTTCTGGATAAGAACAGCGCATTGGTTGAGATGCTTGATCTCTTTACGTGCAAGATAACCACGCCAAATGCGCTGAATAGTAAGTGCCTTTTGATTTAATAATTTTTCGTGTCTTGCCATGTAGCGATCTTCATTATGCTTCTTTAGAAGCTCAACTCTCTTCTTAACAAGTGCTACAAGCTCTGCAGAAAGGATTTTCTGCTTTGCTCTGAGCTCATTTGCTCTTGTTGGTGCAGCTCCTGCCAAAGCCATAGGAGTTGTACCTTGTTTAAGAGATGCGATAGTATGCTTAATGGCGTTTTTATTCTGAAAATCTTCGAAGATTTTAAGACGAGAACGTAAATTTGAAATAGCTTCCTGTTGTTCGTGAATAAGGATCTTCAATTCATTATTTTGGTGAACAATATCTTGTTTTGAAAAGAAATTACGCTGTTCATTTGAAACAAGCAATGAATAGGAAATTGTATCATAAGATGGAGTTTTTTCATTGGCACTATCTACCTCCACAAATGTAGGATCGACTTTCTCTCTAAATGATGTGAGATGCTTCGAAAAAATATTCAATTCGTTGTCTCTTTCTTTGATTCTTTCTTCAAAGTCTAGTAACCACTTTTTGAATGTGCAAAATGGGGTTGGTTTATCTGATGCTAGCATGTTATCTATTTTTTCTTGTTCTTCATCAATTTGTTTCACAATATTATCGATTTGTAAAGCTAAATCTGCGAATTTTTCGTAAGGATGTGGCTTTTTTTTATTCTGAAGAGCAGGAAGTTTAAGAGCTTCCGGATTCATCGTGCCAATGAAGTCCTGCGGTTCGAATCTCGATGTCGGAAGCCTATTCATTTTCTTATCAAAACGAGCAAAAAAAGTGCCGAATAAAAATTTTACATTGAAAATACATCATTCGCATTAGTTGTAGAATGATAGTGCATATACTGTACGTATGCGGATTGATTTTCTTCCACTAATAGATTCACCAGAAAAATGGAAATTGATTTTAAATAGCATTTCAAGGAGGTATTATCATATGGTGGCAGCTACAATCAGATTAATTTTAATAGCAAAATACATTTTTATACAACGTGTGTGCTAAAAGTGTTTTATCAACAGAAATATGAAAAAGATTTTATCAAAAAATGAGAGAGATTATCATTTAATAAAAGCAAATGAGTATATTCATATAAGTAATCCTATTAGTAATTATACACTCCTTTAAATCCCATTCTTCAAATTCCAAAAAAAAATTCAAAAATTTAAAAATAAAAAGGAAAACTACGATTTTATCATGAAAATTGAAGAAATATAAAATTTTTGGAAACATAAATATGGTTTATAATTGAAGTTTATATTAAAATATACAATTTCACTGTTTTAATTTTTATTGATTTTGAAATATTATTCACAATTTCACCAAACTCGTCTTAATTCAGCCTTTTAATGAGGTTCTCTTATTTGTTTCGGAAGATAAGCCGCAAACACTTAGTACCTTGAAAAGTCAGTCTAATTTGTCTTTATTTTAAAAGGTTTCATGGTACTGGTATGGAAATTGTAACTCAAATTTGAAATGAATTCAAAATAAAGTGAAATGATGAAACTTTATTCGTAAAAAAACAAGAAATTTACAAACATATAAAGTTAAAAACATAATTTCACTTAAATCCGCATTGATCATAAGAACACCTACGCTTTAAATCTCGTATTTGATGAACTGCAATCCATAATTTATAAAGCAAGACAATAATTGAAATTCCTCCAACAAACTTAATCCAAAACACATAATCAAGAACAACTGGCATTACATAAACTCTTATTTTGCCTTGGAATCCTGCACCAATACCTTCTTCTTTCGTAATCCCATTCCAAGAATCTGATACCCAGTTAACGAACTCTTTTTTGTTGCTGAAATCACCCTTAAAGTGATAGTATACTTTTCTGTTCAGATTTACTATTGAAATCCATGGCTTTTGCTCTGGATCGTATTCAATTTCTTTACAAAACTTCGTATACTCCGTGCAATCTATTTCGACTGACTTAAAACCTTCTGGGAAATCTTTTGAATAGGAAATTAAGCGATTGGTATATTTGTGTTTCGTATCTTCGATAACAAGGAAAGGTTCTTTAAGCTGAACTTGTATATCAAAGAATGACTTAGATGCAATACCAAATGGAGGGTATATGTGTTCGAGAATAAATCTTTCGATCTTATTGAAAGAATTTGAAGAATTTATTGTATATTCGATTTTTGCAGGACTGTAGTAATATGCAATAATTGGATCTGCTGATTTGTATTTTTGATACGTAAGGTTCAGAAACTTAACAGGGTAAGAATTATATTTGTTGGCAAGTTTTAAATAAAAATCGCTCATATGAGATCCGCTAAGATCTTGACAGATAAATATTGATGTGTTGATGTTTTCTTTCAATTTGTTAGCTAATTGTTCTTTAGATTTTATCTGTATAACTGTCGGCTCGATATGCCTTTCTATAAATGCCTTTACTTCTTCATATGTTCTCGATTCCTCGAATTTCTCTGCCTTTTCTATTGAAGAAGTGGTAAAATAGATTCGTGGAGTACCTGTTCCTGGAAATTTATCGCATAATTTAGTGTCTGAATCACAATTTATTGTTGCTATTGTCAAATTTTTGTTGTTAGAGAAGTGGCTTTCAATCTTTTCTTTAATAGGTTTATATTGATAACAATGCTGGCACCATTGAGAGATTAGTGTAACCAAAATGGGTTTATGCTCTGCTTCTGTGAAGTATTTTTGGTAGTTTTTAAGTGTAATTGTGTTAACTGAAAGAGAGTTTAAAAGGAAAAAGCAGATCATTGAAAACTGTCAGATCTTTTGATAGGAACGGTGGTTTATATAATTGAATATTAAAATATGAACGTATAGTGTTCATTCTGATTTCGCATTTTCAGATTCGAAGGTTCTCAAAAATTGTGAGACGATCATTTCAATATTGATATTTATTAAATAAATATAATATGAATTAATTATTAGATTTTCTTTTTCAATAGATTGTCAAAAAAAGTGAAGATCCGAGTACTGATACTCTTATTGCGTTATCTTATATTGTTTAGACAATAAATACTATCATACTATTCAAACAGTCACATCATGAATTAAATTTGGGAGATTCTCCAATCGATTGTTATACAGACTTCTTCTACTGAAAGATACAATTACTCAAAAAAGTTTGATATATCCAGAGCATGACAAACTATAAATATATGTCTGTTTTTCTAATTTTGGATTCTTGAAACCTAATAATATGAAACTGTGGTAGTGGCCGTTGATTATAAAGTACTTAGTAGCATTGAAGAGATACAAGGAGGCATCTTTTAATTTTATAAGGATAAGTTCAAAAATATGATCAATATATCTGGTTTAATGGAGAAATGGTAGGGAATCATCTTTACTCCCCAAATCTAACACACCATGATAAATTTATCACTCAGAATCATGATTAATTGTAAGCAAAAAAAGGCGGGGATTTTGACGTAAAGTTCTCAAAAAATTTAAAGAATCGATCTGAGGGAAGAAATGAAGAAAGTTGACAGCAATTTCTCATCTCTTCTCTCAGATTTTGGAGATAATTATGAGTCAGAATTCAGGGAAGGGTTTGTTTTTTCAAACAATCAAAATTTCCAAAAACCAGATCGCAATATCGAGTTATTACAAGAAAAGTCAGGGATTAAATACGAGAAACATCTTAATAATAACTCAAAACTTCAGCAACCTGGGACAGAATTTATTGACAAAAATGGATTTCTGCAAAAAATAATTTCGAATTTTCATTCAAATCAAAATACAACATCTTCTGCAATAAACACACCTAAGAATCTGACAAATACGAACCAAAAGACAGAAATTACAAATATATCGCAAAATAATTTACAAAATATTCCCAAAACAGAAAAATTATAACCAACACCCATGACACCTCAAGTAAATAGTTCGGATTCAAAAGAAAATAATACAATTCAAGCCAAAATTGAAACAAATAATTTTGAAAGTAACGAAAATTTACCAACCGCAGAGCTTACTGGGTTTGATAAAAAGCTTATTGACTACGAGCAACAAATGGAAACGCTTAACATGCTAATACGAGAAAAACTCTTGAATAATCCAGAGGATACAGAAATCGAGTCTCTAAGAGCTGAACGTAGATATCTATACCAGCAAATGGAGCAATTTGAAGAAAAAGTACAAAAATCTAAAAAATATTCTTCAACTCCAAAGCCAAAACTATTCACAGCAATTCCAAAAATTGATACGCGTGAAAATAGAATTACTGAGACTCCTAAAGCCGAATTACCGAACCGTAATTCGAATGATATCAAGGAGGAAGCTCCTTATGAGGTAATTCATGATGATGATTCACTGGTTAATACAATTCGTGAAACTGTAGATTTGTATTCACCGAAAACTAAGCTGCCTGATAAAAAAGTAAATTTAGTACCGGAAACTCCAGCAACGCCAAAGCCAGCTACAAAATCAGGTGAGATTCTTGATTCTCCAAAGCCTGCTCGACGAGTTAGCGCTGATAACTTTGATATTCCGCTGATTCCGAAATTTACACCGAAATCTTTCGAAGAAATGCAAGCTCAACTTGCACAGCGTAGTAACAGCAATAAGAGTATCGATGGAAGTGTTAAAGGTACTCCTGATAATTCGACAAATGCAAGTCAGAGAATGAATTCGACTGAAAATGTAGTTAGTAGCTCTGTAGTGGCAGATAACTCCACAACTGGAAGTCAAAATCGCGAAAGTAGTCAATTGGTAAGTTCTCGTTTGTTATTAAATGATGGAAATTCGTCTGGTCCGATAATTCAAACAGGTAGCGTCCTTCCAATACCATCAAAGTACATGATCAATGATTTGGAAGGTGAAGTTGAAGATACACCAAATCTTATTGATGATGAAGAAGCTGATGGATTCATGGATAACGATAATGAAATACAGGTTAGTATTTCACCAGCTTTAGAAACGAAAATAAATGAAGTTAACAAGAAAGTCTTTAAGCATTCTCATTTTAGAGGCCGTCAAAGGGATGCAATTGCAGCAGCCTTAAATGGCGAAGATGTTTTCGTATTAATGCCAACAGGAGGTGGAAAATCTCTTTGTTACCAGCTTCCTGGATTCATTCAAATGGGTGTTACCATTGTAATTTCTCCTTTAATTTCTTTAATTCAAGATCAAGTTCGATCATTAACAGAATTAGGACTTGATGCAATGGCATATGGCCAAGAAACAACAGCAGCAGACTATAATGAAATAGTTAGAAAGATAAATAATGGAAGATTAAGATTCTTATTTATGACTCCAGAGAAAATCATGATGGGCTCAATAAATACAAGATTCATTGGTTCTATCTATGAGAAGAAGAGATTAACAAGATTTGTTATTGATAAAGCTCACTGTGTAAGCCAATGGGGACATGATTTTCGTCCTGATTACACTCAACTTGGAGTTTTGAAGACAATGTATCCTGATATTCCAATCATGGCGTTGACAGCTACAGCAACAGATGCAGTACAAAGAGATATCAAAGAAATTCTTAATATTAGGAATTGCCACGTTTTCAAATCATCTTTCAACAGACCAAATATTTTCTACGAAGTCATTCAAAAAGAAGAAAATTCAAAGGATGAAATGATTAGATGGATCAAAGCACATGGGTATGAGAATTCCACAGGAATCATCTTTTGTATGACAACACCCGAAACAGTTAATTTATCCCAGTACATGAATACTAAAGGATTTAATACTGCTTATTACCATGGAAAAATGGAAAATGCCGATCGTAAGAAAGTTCAAGAAATGTGGATGAATAACCAAATCAGAGTCATTGTTGCAACACTAGCATTTGGAATGGGTATTGATAAACCTGATGTTAGATATGTCATTCATATGACAATGCCAAGATCACTAGAAGCTTATTATCAAGAAAGTGGAAGAGCTGGACGTGATGGTAAACAAAGTCACTGCCTTTTGTTCTTTTCTATGGGTGATAAAGCAAGAGTTCATAGACTAATTTCTTATACTGAAAGCGAAGAACAAATAAAGAATAAAGACAGATTGGAAGTTGAAGAAAATCTATTAGAACATATGGCAGAATATGGCTTAGATAAAACAACATGCAGAAGAGTTTTGCTTTTGTCTTATTTCGGAGAACAATTCGATCCGGATAACTGTGGTATGACATGTGATAATTGTCAAAAACAGAATCTCAATCGAGCTAAAATCGAATATGATTTGACAGCGCATATGAAGAATATTGCGAATTTGGTTAATGATATCAATAAGAAACGCAAGTCATCTCCATATGCAACGACAAATTATATTATTGATGTTTATGTTGGTTCCAAAGCCAAAAAAGTTACAGATTCAAGAGATAACAATCTCCCTGAATATGGTTTAGGAGTTGAACTTAGAGGAGCGAAGAAAATTTTTATTCATCAATGTTTGCAAGAATTACTAAGAAGAAATGTTTTGAAAATGGAAAATCATGATTCACAATATGGAGTCATAGAGTTTTTCAATGCTTCTGATGGATTTCAAACAAAAGTTCAAAATTTGCAACCATTTATTTATGCAGAATATGTTGAAAGCGAAGGCGATGAATTATCAAGAGAAGACATGTTCATATTCAAGGAATTGGTAAAGATGAGAGATTTCCTTATTCAAGATGCAAACAGAGAATCATTTATGCCTTCAACAATGCTGCAACTCATCGCTAAAATTAAGCCAAAGACTACAGAAGAGTTGAAGAAGATGAAGGTTATGAATAAAGGAAGAATGGATCGACTTGGTCATGCAATATTAAATGTTTTGAATAGCGGTCAATTCAATCCTGAAGGAATTCAATCGAATCTTCATAAATATCAAGGACACATTACTCCATCAGCAATTCCTTCACAACAACAGATTCCACCACCTCCTCCACCAGTCCAGCAGACTCCAAGGAAAACTAGAGGAAGAAAGAAGAAGAATGCTCAGTCAGAAACTCAAGCCACTGAAGATCAAACTCAACAGCAAAGTTCAGTTTCTTTGCCACTTCCTCAACCCCAGCAACAGTCACCAAATATTCCAACTATTCCTCCTCAACAAAGTATACCAGTTAATCCTCCTCAACAAAATGTTCTAGTTAATCCTCCTCAACAAAATGTTTCAATTAATCCTTCTCAGCAGCAGAATGTTTCAATTAATCCTCCTCAACAGCAGAATGTTCCTGTTATTCCTATGAAACAACCAGTCATTCCGCCAACTTCTGGAACTATGCCTAGGAACATTCCAAATCAACAAAACTCATCTGTTCAACAAAATATTCCAGCATCAAATCAGCAAGTTCCAATCAGACAACCTAATGCTCCTATCACAGTGCAACCTAATACTCCTTCAACGCAACAACGACCAGTTCAAACTCCTCAAAGTTATCCATCTCAGCAGAATATTCCAAAGCCAAATATTCCAAAAGTTCCGCAGACTCTACCTCCAGATTTGGATATTGTTATACCTGTAGGTCATACTCCGCCTCATTCTCAAAACAAGCCAAAGAATCGACAAGCCAAATATCTTGAAAGCCAAGCCATTAATTATCAAATGCCTCCACCAAGAACAGTTCCTGCTCCAGATTTTGAAGAAATTACTGCTTCATCTCAGAGAGAAAAGAAAAATACTGCAAACTCGACACCAAAGAAATCTCCAACAATTGTTCAGATTCCTCAAAATATCATTGCTGCAAACATTGCAATGGCACAGCAACAAAAAGCTCAAGCAAATTCTACTCCACAACAAAAACCAAAACATTATATTGCCCCAATTCCAGAAGAAATTGTTGAAGAGGAGCGACAACAAATGCAAACTCCTACTCAGCAGCAAGCTCCACCAAAGCCCACACCACCACCATTTAAACCTATTCATCATCCAGAAACATATTTAATTGATTCTGATTCAAGTGTTGAAGAAGTTCCTTCTACTCCTGTTAAGCCTATCAATACACCTGCTCAACAAAACAATATTCCTAACTCTCCTTCACCTGCTATATTACAAAATAACATTTCCCAGAAGCAGATACCATCAACTCCAGTTGTTTCTCAGTCAAAAGAGCCTCAAACTCCTCAAAGAAGTGAGATTTCTCCTGCTCCAACTCCTCCAAGACAAGCAATGGATCAAATGGGAGCTGGAATTCCTCCACCTCCAAAGAACATTACACCAGAAGTTGCTGCATGGCTTGCCCAAGTCTTTACACAAATGGCACAAAATGGAAGCCAATAATAGTCTCATTGACCAATTAATTTTATTATTAATTTATTATTTGTATGTTTTCTTATTCGAAAATCTAAAATCATTCCTATTGTTGAAATTGAAAATGTTAATCTTTATCTTTAGCTTTCACTAGATTCTAACATGACATATTAATATCATCAATTTATGAGATTATTTAAGTGCAATATATCATCTTCTAAAGAGATTTATTAGACATTCTTTTTAGCAATATATATCCATGAACATATATGAATAACATATCCAATTCCTTGACAAAAGTAATGCACATGAAGTCTTAAACCTTCAATTATTAAACTAAGTTATATGAACAACAACTACTTAATGAAATATATAGTGTCTAAAGAGTGGGAAAAGGTGCTTTTGCAGAACTTTAATGCTAATTTTGCAGAAAATTTTAATCATATCTCAAAAAAGTTATCAAAGGGAAACACGAATATGTATATATTTTGCCTTAAAAAGCTATTTTGCAAATAAATATTTAAAAAATAAACACTTTATAAAATTAAATATACTTAACTAAGAGTTTGTGGAAATCTTCCCATTCCTTAAGTGGTCCAAGTTCTCTTTCAATGGCTCTGACTGGATCTTTTGTGCCGGTAATAATATTTTTGATATTAAACTCAGCATCGACGTATTTTTCGCCATGGGATGTTCCAATTTGGTAAACTTTGTTTAAAACTTCAGCAGCATGGACTGGAGTATTTGAAAAAACTGATGGATTCTTTAATGCAGCTGTTGCGATCATTATTGAGTCGCAGCCTGTCTTAACTCGCATTTCTGCGGCATCTGCTTTGTTGCAAATGCCTCCGTTTCCGATTTTTGCGCAATTAATGTTATCAAAAATTTCTTTCATGTGTTCGTAGTCTACGGAGCCATGTCTCTTATCGGCAGCAAGTCTACCATGCACTGTAATTGCTACTGCACCTGCATCGACCATTGCTTTAGCAAATTGAAGAGATTCTTCAACTGTGTCTTTAACCCTCATTTTAACGCTAATTGGTAAAGGCGAATTCATTTTAAGTGTCTTGACGACATCAACTGCTGATTCTAATTGCATTTTGCTTCCGCCACCTCTATGGCAAGCAAAACTCTCAGGACAACCACAATTGATATCGATACCTGATGCAAATTCAGTGCACATATCTGCTGCTTTAATTGCATTAGGTCCATCTACAGTAATAAGCTGAATAATTAATTTTCCTCTTTCTTCAGCTGTTGTATGGAATATTCTCCTATTGTGTCCGTTTTCTACTTTGATAAGAGATATATTGTTGTCATCCTTTTCCATCGTTGACCCAATAATAGCCAAATCAACTAATCCAGGTGAAAAAACAAGATCCGCGCCGTACTCCAAGCAAGCTAATCTGAAAGATAATGATGAACCACGAACCATTGGAGCAGCGATAAGCTTGTTTTTGTAGAAATTTTGGATATCTTCAGTCATCTTTATTTAATGAAAGGGTCTGATAAAAATAAAGAGGGAGAAAACTCAAATGTCAACTCATAATGTTTTCTATACACGTTTGGAGCCAAAAGGGCGTATATGTTATATGCGTGCAATGGAAACATTTCCAAAAGAAGAAGGAATGATGGATGAAAGTCTACAAACCTTTCTAAATTCGATTATTGAAGGTCATGATGATTTTGACGCACCAACGCTACAAAATTCAATCAACTTTGGAAGAACATACTTTGAACTTGGTAATAAATTGCCTCAAACAGTTATTAATAAAATTCTTAGATGTGCATTCAGATTTCCGACTTTAGTCCCTCAGTTAGTATTATACTCGAGATATTACAAATCAAATAACTGGATTTTTAATGCTCTTATCAAATCTTTATCATCAGATTTTTCTTTAGTACAAGACTCACTTGCAAAGTCTGAACCTATATGGAGTTTCTTAATACCGAAGTTTGAAGAAGATTTTAAGTCAAAAATATCAAATCTTGATAAAGATTTCTACGATTACCCAACAGCTTTCCTTTTTGAGAGTGTTATTTTCGGTTGGGACTATATTAAAGCGGCTCATGTATCTTTCGAAGATTTGGTCGTTGAATTTGTGAATTTTTGCAATTTAAATCCAAATTCAAATGCTTGTCGATCAATGCTCAACCTAATATGTTCTATTATGCCAAAATTAGTCATTGGTAAGGCGTCTAATGTCGCAGATTGGATTTCTGTTCCAAATCTGAGATTAATACTACAACAAGGACTTTATCAGAAAGGAGAATTACCAGGCAACCAAGTTTCATTAGCTGTTAAGATGATTCCGATTGATATCGATTTAGCAAAGGAAATCATTGAACAATGCGACAAAGATAGCAAAGAAGCGTTTAATGCACTACTCACACATTATAATCCTGACCAAGGAACGTTTGGCCCTAATTATGATGAAAATTAATTGTCATTTCGTATATTTTTTATCTGTTATGAATAAAATAGAAGTTTTGTATTATTTATATTCATTATCACTATGAGAAAAAGAAATTAATATCAACTGTCAATAAAATTCTGAATAATATTACATAATTCATACTCAATTGAAATTATACAATGTTTTTGCATTGTACTGACAATCCAAATATGAATAAATCATATTGTTTCTTGATAAGAATATTACTTTCTGGATATGATGAGAAAATAGTCAAATTAAATATCAATTGAAAATTAAATCTAGGATTTGAGAATAATTTTTAGTGTTTTATGCTTTGGAAATAATGAGTAATTCTAAAATATTTACTTAAATTTCATAAAAACCCATCGTTAATTTTGACCCAAAATTCATAAGATGCTATTTGAAGCTTGGAAAAGATGGGAAATGCATCCAATACTTATAATATTATATGTTTTGGAACTATTTTCTTAATTGCATTGTCAGTTTCACAGGTCTGATTTCGATCGCATTCGCTACACCACTTTTTTGGGCCCAAGAACGAAATATATATTACTATGTTTTTTCCTCTATATAAATTAAAGAAACTGATAGTAAAATTCTCGGGCGAATGGTGCTCTCAAAATATGTAAAATTTCCTTGATTTATGCCATGCAATTTATCATAATCTCATTGCTTTTTTATAATTTTTTCTTGATTTACTTGTGACAGGTTTATCGTACTATTCAATATTTGAAAGATCATTTAATTCTCACAAAAGATTTTTTTATGGCTGATTATGATGATGTCCCCGCTTCTCTTGAGGAAATGAGTGTTCCTCTCGCAGAAGACTATAATGCTACTCATGAAGCCGAACAACAAGAAAACAAAGTTTTGCCAAGTGCATTTTTAAACGCTAACGAAGTTGTTCCAGATACTATCTTGTATAAAGTCCCATCAGCTAGACCTAGTATCAAGGATATCAGACGCGCGTCAATCATGGAAGAAAATCCTGGCAGTCAGCAAACATTTGAAGTTACCAAGCCAGAACCAAAGAAGAAATTCAAATTTAAATCAATATCTTTCGGCATTATGCTCGGTGTTTATATTCCGACAGTCTTAAACCTTATTTGCATCAATTATAACGTTGATATCGCCAAAACCATCGAAAGATTCGGTCTTGGATATGGACTCTTATTGTTTGCTGTTTATACTTTGATTGCCTATGGTACTCTTTCAAGCATTTCCGCACTTGCAACAAATGGTGAGATGCAGAAAGGCGGTTGCTACTATTTGATCTCAAGATCGCTTGGACCGACATATTCTGGTGCAATTGGTATCATTCTGATCATTGGTCACGCTGCATCAATAAGTTCAAACTTTTATAACCTCGGAAACATCATTTCTACCCTCTACTCACCATATACGATGACAAAGTCTAGATATGGAGACTCTATCTTGATACAATTCTTATCATGTACTGTTGTTTTGATGTTACAATTTCTAGGTGTAAAATTCTTAGTTATTCTTCTCGCTTTGCTCGGTGGTGTCTTAACTGTTGGCGTTGGCTTCCTTTACGCAGGCTTTATTACTAACAAACCAGCACCAAATTCATTTTACCAAGGTTTCAGCGCGAAACTCTTTAAACAGAACTGGAAACCAGCAGGAACTTCTTTCGATCTTTCATTGTTCTACTTATTCTCTTCTTGCAACGGAATTATTACAATTGCAGATTATTCCGGCAGTTTAAGCCCCACAAAACAAGCTATTCCTATTGGCGGATACTCAGCGCTAATTACTTCCTCAGTATTCTTCTTACTTATGCTATTTTTAATTTCTGATCTGGCAATTTCGAACATTTACCTGATTCACCAGCCGCTTTCATGACAATTTCTGCCAATCCACTCGTCAGTTACATCGGATTCATGTGCGCCGGTATTGGATCTGCAATTACAATGACATTAGGCGGATCTCGCATTGTTACTCAAATGGTTAAAGACGGATTACTTCCTAAATTCATAACCTTCAAGATGATCAACAATGAATCAGTTGGTGCCAACATTATTATCGTAATTATTGGATTCCTGTTTTCATTTGTTAGGACACGTGAAATGATCCAATCTCTTACCAATGTTTTCTTCCTTATTCCACTTGCTTTGGTCAATCTCGCTCTTTATTTGACAGATTCACAACATAATCCAGGTTTCAGGCCGGTTTTCAAGTATTTCAACAAATGGTTCTCTTTCTTCATGATCATTGTTTGCATTGTCCGTGCAGCATTAGTAAATTGGATGATCTTTGTCGGTGTCATCGGATTATTAGGAATTTTGACATTGGTTTATTACAAATGCGTTGCAATCCATGATTCGTGGGGAAGCGTTCTTTCCAACCACATCTTTTATTCAACAATGAAAGAAGCATTGAAGCTGTATAACGTTCCTCCACATGTTAAAACATATCGATCAAATATGATTTTTGTAACAACGAAGAAACCAAATGATTGTTTGCATGCGATTGATTTCATCAACCAATTACTTTCCGGACATGGAATGGCCGCTGTCGGAAGAGTTTATATTACAAATGAAAAGCCAAACATCAGGAAACTCATCAAGGAAAGAGCGGAATCTTTTCTTGCCGCTGATGATTCATATCATGTTTTTTATGATATAACATGCGCACCGACATTCCATGAAGGAGTTAGAGATTTCCTTTTAACAGCAGAAATAGGAATGATGAGACCAAATACATTGTGTTTGGAATTCCCAGAAGAATGGAAATCAAACACAATTTGTGATGAATTCTTTAGAACTTTGGGAACTGCTTTCGACGCTAATTTCTCTGTTTCTGTTTTGAGACATTTGAATAGATTTTCTGAGGTAAATAGAAAAGGAACAATTGATGTTTGGTGGCTTGCAGATGATGGTGGATTGACTTTGTTGTTGCCTTATTTGTTGAGTCGTGAAAAACAATGGAAACACGCTCAATTAAGAATCATGGCTTTGTGTTTCATTGATGAAGATCAAGACTTCCAACAGACGCAAGAAAGAATGGAACATTTGTTGTATAAATTCAGAATCAAAGCTGAAGTTATTACAATTGAAGTTTCTGTTAAAAATGAACAACCTTCTCCACTTGTGATGACGAAATGGCAGAGTTTAGTTGGTAATGAAGAAATCAATGAACAACAACAAATGTTGACAAGCAGATATCTTTTGTTGTCTGATTTGATAAGGAATTACTCTATTTCAAGTAGTTTCGTTGTTCTTACAATGATTGTTCCAAGAGAAACAACAAATCCAGCTATTTATTTGAGTTGGCTTGATTTGTTATCATTCCTTGATGTTCCTTTCTTGTTCGTAAGAGGAAATGGAGAAAACACTCTCTCATGGCATATTTAATTATATATTATTTTTAATTGTTAAACCAAGGATTTTTTAAAAAATATTATTGATTATTATATTTAATGATGCACTATTACCTAATTGGCAATTTCCTCCTATATATATTTTTCGCAATATATTCAAGATCTACAACAAGATCTTGGCTAATCAAGAACTTGAAAGTTGTTAAAAATTCAAGTTCATTAATAATGAATTTTATTTTTAAACAGTATAATCAATATAATTTTATTGGAAGAGATGTTTCGATGAAAAAAATATTAACAGAATTTCTCAAAAAACACTATTAGTTTAGATAATCTTTTTGGAAAATTAGTCAACTTCAACAATATATTTTCTTCGTTGGGTGAGATAATTAATAAATTCATCCCTGAAATTTCTTGCACCATTTGAAATAAGAAATTCAACAATTCTGGAATTTTTAGATTGTTGCTGGGCTTTATATAATGCAGTTTCCCCATAATTATCTTTAATATAAATTCTCGCGCCACGAGAAATAAGAACTTTGGCTGTTTTCATAGAGCGGAATTTTGATGCCTTATGAAGGGCAGTTTCTCCATTTTCATCTTGCATATTTATGTATGTCCCGCGAGAAAGGAGAATTTCAACGATCTTGGTGTCGTCTCTTTTAACTGCATTAAAAATGCCTTTTTACAATAATTAATATTTTTTGAGATCAGAAAGTCAACTATTTCATTATGATCTAGTTCTATTGCGCGATATAAAACAGTTTTCCCATATGATGTTTCAATTTCTGGGTCAGCTCCAAGCTGAATAAGAGTTGATAGCGTTTCCATATAATTATATTCGCATGCTATAATAAGAGGAGTTTTCTCATAAACTATTTCATTGACATGTGCACCTTTTGATATAAGAAATCTTATTAATTTTAAATTATTCAATTTTACCGCATCATGAAGGACTCCTGAATTTACATTTGCTCCGTATTTGATCAAATAATCGCAAAAGTCTTGAATATTGATATTGATTGAAAATTTTAAACATTCATCGAGAGCTTTTGTTTGATCTAAATAAACAAATAGGGCCAGAAGATTATCGTATTTACAACAATAATCAGCATTAATTTTGATATTGTATTCATTAAATAAAAATGTAACGAAATCAATATTGTGCGAAAATATTGCATATTCCATACATTCTTCAGTTGGTATTTGATATTTCAAACATTCGCTCATGATTTCTGGATTTCCACCTAAAAAAGAAAGCATAAGACAAATTTTTGAGAATTTCAATTCGAATTTAGTTTGTAATTGTTTAAAACAATCTACAGCCCCATAGTAACAACATAATTCAAGTAATGAGTAAGAATAGTCACGATTGGGGAAAAAACAACTTTGAAAGGTTTGTTTTTCATCAAAATCTTCTCCCTCAGCAATGGAAATAAATGCTTTTTCGTCATTGTGCATAACTGCTTTCAAAACTGGAGTTTGAAATTCTGAAGAATAATTTTTGAATTTTTCTAGAAGTTTTTCATCTTCAACCTTTTTAAATTCTTGAAAGTAAACATTCTTGATTTGCGAATACTTTGTTTGAAATTCTTCATCAATCATTTTAATTAATTTCAAATACGATTCTAAATAGCGATTTTTATATTTAATATTGAATAATAGCTTATATACTATTTCTGTAGGAGTACATATTTTTGAATCAAGCAATTGTTTCTTTAAGTTTTTGTAAATTAACGTTAATTCTTCTTCATTTTCTGTTTTTAACGTATATATTGAAATGAAAACATCCCAATATGGTTGTATGATACTCAAAAACTCGATATATTGTAAGGGCGGTACAATTTCCACCATTTTGCGACACTATTGATAAATTATTTTTCATAACAATTCAATTTAGTCGTAAATTTTAAAAGTCGATAGAATTGAAGTCGTTGAATAATCCATATATATATATGCAGATAAATTGCAATGAGGGATATTGATTAAAAATTCTACGGTCAGCAACCAACTCTTAAGAGTACATTTACACCCATAAAAATTTAATTCAAATTTCTGACAGCTTTGCTATAAAGTCGTTGAAGAATTACACTATTCAGAAGATACAAAGATAATGTCAAATGACCTATGAATAAACTAAGTATTTACGGCAAATCAATGGATAACTAAATATTTACATTTCTTATAGAAATAGAAAGGAGTCTTTGGCAATCTTTGTAATTTATTTGAAAATCTTCGATAATATCAATTAAATGATTCTGATAGAATACCGGTGAGATAGGATTTATTAAATTGTCTATTTTTGAATAAATCTGTGACTTCAATATCATAAAAACCAAGATTTTAAACTAATGATATTTTTATTCAAAGATAAAAAGTAAAAAGCAGGTTTAATTTGTTTCTTTCCGGAAAATAATCCAAAGATAGCGAGAATTTGATAATTTTATCGGCGCCTATTGTTAAATTTGTAAAGTTGATTTGCATATATTGAATTTGTTGGATAAATGACTTGGCATGAAGAACTATCAATTTTTGTTGTACTCAGATTACAAAATGATCGATTCTGATATGAATCTGTCACAAATGCGACTGTTGTCTTATCAAATGAGTTATTTGTACATATCAGATAGTTACTGCAGAAATAAACCATCTTTATTCCAGAGTTTATGAATGATCTATCACTTATTCTTTCTATTGTATTAGGAATGACTATTTTTTGAGGAAATGAGCATCCATAGAAAGCACTATCACCAACAACACTAACATAATCCAATATATGAAAATCAAGACTTCGACAATTGTAGAACCCTCTTCGATAAACTTCAATCAGAGCTCTACTTTTGGAAGATTTCAATACGCTTGGAATAACAATCTTTGTTAACTTTGTACAATTTTCAAATAATGATTCATTGATTATGTTTGTGTACATGAATATTGATTTCAAATTTTCACAATTTGCAAATAGACATGAATTCAACATTATGTTAGAGTTCATAATTTTAATATGTTTAACATTTTTGAATTCAGAAAATCGAATATCATTTATTGAATTAGGATTTGTATTGATTGATATATTTATAAATTTGATTTGATTAATGTTAGAACCTAACAAAATTTGTAATGTTTCAAATTTAATTTCTTCGCTCTGAATTGTAATTTTATTAAGTTGGTTGCATTCCGAAAATACTCCAGTTTTTATTTCAATAGGAAATCCTTCAATAATAATTTCTATAAGATTATTACAATTCATAAATGCAAGAGAATCAAATGATTGCATAAAGCTTGTAATAACAAATTTTGTGAATCCACAATATGCAAAACATTTATTTTCAAATGCTAACGCAGATATTTCTTGACCAAATTCAATATTTGTGAGTTTTGTGCATTGACTAAATACACTTTTAGAAATCTTTTTAATTCCTGAAGGAATTCTTACAAACTCCAAACTTGAACAAAGTTCAAATGTTTGTTCACCAAATGATTCCAGGTTGCATCCTTCCCCGAATATTGCAATTCCGAGATTTGTTGCATTGTAGAATGCCTTATTTGCAATCGATGTAGATCTATTAAAATTCAATTCGCGAATTGAACAGTTCCAAAATGCTTCGGTTCCTATATTATTTGGCGATGAAAGGAACGTTATATTTGTCGATAGACAATCATAAAATGCAGATTCCATAATTGTATCGACATCTTGAAAATGAATCTCTGGCACATGGCATCTATAGAATGCTGAATTTCTTATTAATGTCAAATTACTATGAATTGTTAAAGTTTTTAATTTTTTCATGTAGGTAAAACAAAATTCGCCTATAATTTTCACATATGGTGACAGAGAAATACTTTCTAATCATCCAGCTGCACATATAACTTCAGATTTATTTTTCGAATATATTACATGGCTATCTGAATAATAGTTATCAGTTTCTTCAGAGATTGTTAATATTTTTAAATTTTCTGAATATTGAAATGCTGGATTTGGTATTTCGTAATCTCCTGTTATAGAACAACTTTCACCAGAATTCTTACTGACATAAATCAATTGATCTTCATTAACAAGAAAACCATTGCTAAAATTATACTTTGAATTGGATATATTGAAGCAAATGATATTTGGACATCCAGAAAAACAATTTATTGATAAATTAACATCTTCTGATATAATAACTTCTTCCAAATCAGCTGCAGCAAAAATTCCCTTAGATTGAATAATTATATGCTGAGGAAAATATATGGATTTGATTGCTGGTTGAACAATAGCCTCTGTTTTTATTGTTAATGTTTTTGTTTTTGGATGTAAAAATGTAATATTTGATAATTCCAAATTATAGGCAAGCCCTTCTTTTTCTATTTCTTCTAAGTTGCTTGATAAAATTATTTCTTTTAAATGTGTATATGAAAAAGAATTGGAGATGATTACTTTCAATTGAGAATCAGATGCAAATTCTATTTTTGAAATATTTGCATCAAAAAATGCACCTAATCCAATTTCTTTAACAGATGTTGGAATGAAAAGATATTCCATGTCTTTGATATAATGAAAACAATATCCATTTATAACAGTTACTTTATTATCTATTGTAAAACTTTTAAAATTTACTGGAACTTTAATGAGATTATTTAAACTAGAATTATAAAGAACTCCATCACGAATTACGTAATTTTCATTTTGACTATCTACTGTGAGTTTGTTCAAATTGTTACAATTTCTGAAACAAGTGGAATGTATTGATTCAACAAACTTTGAAATATAAATGGATTCCAAATTATTGAAATCGAGAAATGCAAATTCACCTACTGTAGTGGTACTTGATGTATTGAATACAATATTTTTAATAAGAAGAATTTCAACTTTATTTGATATATCATTTTTCTTTATTTCTCCATATCCAGTGATATTTAGCGTGCTTGTCTCTGGAATGAATTTAAAGTCAAGAGTACAACTCACTTGTAATAATAAGAAGTTTAAGAGCAAATCAAAAATAAAAAAGCCACTTTTTCCCCTAATGCGATATCGTAGTTTTAAATCATTATCTGGTAGCCATATATAACCTTTAATTAGTTGATTTCACTTGCTCGACGTTGACACGGCAGATCAGAAAAGTGCCAATTTTTTTAACAAGAATGGAAATCCGAGCTTTCATGAAATTGAATCAATCCATTATTACTAGCCTTTGACACTAGTCCTTGGAATTGAATTTTTGAAAATATATATTCACGAAATATCGAATATCGATCATATACTTCTTTATTAATATATGCCATCTACTTCCATGCATAATTCAATATATAAACAGATAGATATTGAATTACTAAGGAAATTTTGATCAGATGATCCTAAAAATTATGAGGTAATATATGGATTCAACTGTATTATTAAAGTCCTCTATGGATAAACATTAATCATTGAAATATGTTTAGCTTTGATATGATGGTGAGAGCCGATACCATTTTTTGACTTTGAATGAGATATCTAATACGATTAATTGCACGTAAACATTTCAATTCACTCAAATTTAAAACAGAAGCAAAGAATATGAATTCAATTATAGGATCTTTGAGTTAGTCAATTTATTTACTAAAAAATATGAAAGAGAATAACAAAACACAATTTTTTACATTATTCTAGTTAAGTATTATCAATTATCTGGATTCATAATAGCCTCGATTTCGTCAACAGTCTTTGGAGCGTTGGACAATACTTCGTGTCCTTTCTGTGTAACGAGTACGTCGTCTTCAATTCTGATTCCGCCTATTACGTCGCAGAATGAGAGAGCTGTATCGTAATTGAAAGGAATTCCGTCTTCTTTCGCGCGAGGAATATTTATTCTGTTGAAGTATATACCTGGTTCAATGGAAATGACCATTCCTGGGCCAAGAACTTGATCATTTCTTGGTAATTTGATCTTTGAAGGTGGATTGTGGATGACAGGATCATGGTTGTTGCATCCAATGTGATGGGAAACACTGTGTGGTATGAAAACGTTGATAACTGGGAATTTCGGTTTGGAATTTCCAGAAACAATGCCTAAACTGACCAAAATCTGGTGAACTCCGTATCTCATAGCGCTGTCTAAGTCATCAATAGTCACATCTGGATGAACCATGTTAATCAAATTAATTTGGAGGTTCAATAAAAGGTTGTAGACTGCTTTTTGGACGTCAGTGAATCTGCCGTTAGCTGGGAATGTCCTGGAGACATCTCCTGAGTAATGTTTGTAGAATAAACCGCAATCCATCAAAACAAGAGAGCCTGGATTAACAGATGAAGAGTTTCTGACGTAGTGGAGGTAAGAAGCGTTCTGTCCTGATGCAGCAATCGTTGGGAAACAAAGTCCATCAGCTCCTAATTTGATACCTTCGTAAAGAAAAGTGGCTTCAAGGACTCTTTCTGACATATCTGACCTAGTCATCTTCATAACGGCACAGATACTATCTGATGTCATGATAGCAGCAGCTCTTAAGCAATCAATTTCCCATTCAAACTTAACTTTTCTTGCGAGACCAGCAGCTGTGATAAGTGTAGTTGTATCATCGTAGTTAAGTGATTGGAATTCTTGATATCCGAGTAATCTGCGAATTGGTTGATCATTTGCAATAATTTCTTCCATTATAATGCCTGCAGCTTCCATAGATGCTACTTCGTCAACTCCTGTCATAGCAATAACTTCTTCTTCTGTTGGAATGTCACCAGTCCAGACTTCATAGCTATCATCATAATCTGGAATTAATAAAATTGATTTATTCTGAATAACGTTGATGATTAAGCCTGAGTTTGGTTCATTCCAGCCTGTTAACCAGTAAAATAACGCTTCCTGGTAGAAAGATTTCTCGCCATTACTAAAAGGTTCCATTTCCTCCTTTCCAGACCGGAGGAAAACAATACTACGGCTAAGTTTGTGCTCATTTAACACTTGTATCAATTTTGCTCTGTGTGCTGCAAAGTGTTGTCCTTCCATAACTTTTTTTTTTCAGAGAAAAAATAAATAACTTTCATCTGATCGGCGATTATTCAATTTTTTGAGAGCTATTCAAAATTTTTTTCCTTTGACCAACCATAATATTTCGTCCCTATAGATATTAAGTAATCTTTTTTCGTGGGAAGGGAAAATTTTAGTTTCGGAGTGATCCCCAAATGATCTCGCATGGTTTTAGCCCTAAAATTTCTGATCGCATTACAGTCTATAAAGGAAAATTGATTGGGCAATATATACCGCAACAATTTTTTAGATGTTGTAATTTTGAATTTTGAGAAGAAGAATGTCAGGCCGGTATATGATTGATTCTACATGCATTTCTACTTGATTTTAGTGATCCATTGAATGATAATGAAATAAAAATATGAAGATACCTAATATTTTATAAAAACATAAAAAACAATAATATATTAATAGTTATTATCTGGGTTACAATATTTTTTGGAGTTCTCTAATGCAATTGTCGAGCGATGATTGGCTAAAACGACCTTTGGAATCAATTTCCTCTAAAATTTCGTTCAACTTGTCTTGATTAATCGGGCTAACCGCTTTTCTAGTCATGTCTATGAAGTGCTCATAAATAAAATCGAATTTCATTAATGGAAAAACAAGTTGAAAACAAATAAAACTTTTCTGAAGTTCATTAAACGAATAACTGAACAAATTAATCATTGTCTCTCCATTTTCTTCAAGAAATTCTTTAACTTTCTCTTCATCTTTGTAATTAAACAAATAATTGAAATAATTTTCAGATAAAATTATATTTCCGCATTGAAAAGCATCTAAATATGATATGTCTAGTATGATCTTTAAACTGCCCTTGTAATCTATTGCATATTTCCCAAATGATTTCAAAAAATCAGAAAATGCCATTGCAAAACCCATTTTGTTGTATTTCATAATGGTCTCTGGCGTTATTATTGATATGGTTATAAAGAGCTTGTCAATGGCCGCTGAAACCACTTCATTTTTGTAATATAATGAATAAACAAGAAAATTATTCGAATTAAGGAAGATATTTCTGATCAAATCCATTGCAACAAAGAAAGTATCAGACAAATTCTCAAAATCAACGTGATTGTCTAGCGCATTCTTGAGAAAATCAAAATAAATCGAAAGAGTTTTCAAACAAAAGTTGACAACAACAAAACCGTTGGTCTGGTTACTTTTTGAAAGCAAACTTTTGCAAAATTGAAAGAAAATTGGAACAATTTGTTCATTTTCGAACAATTGATTGATTTTTGTTTGGATTTGCGGCAGGAGATCATATATATAGTCAAATACTTGGTCACTGGTGCTGATTAATGATATAATATTCATTAGAAAAATGTGAAATTCAGAAAATTCATTCTTTTCCATGGAATTTGAATAAATTTCAGATAGTTTCTGCATCACTTCATCAAGACCATCTATTTTCTTATCATTTGTCATAAATCTGGTCAAAGAATTCAATAAATTAATTGAAAATTGATAAAATCCTAATTGGTTTAAGAAAGGAGAAGCATCTGGGAATCTAAATGCATTATATTTGGTTCTGTCATTTATTATCGCCTTGAAAATGTATTTAAAGTTGTCATTTTCAAATAATCCAATAATATCTCGAACTAAAGGCTCAATATCAGAGAACACATCTAACATGGTAAAAGCAAAGTTAACAAGCATATCAAATATGTCTGGATAACTGTATTGCGTTGAATAAATTTCATTATATTTATTTAATAACGAAAAACCATCAGAAGTATACTGAATATTTGTATCATTTAACTTATTGAATGAATAAATGAGAGATCTGATGAATTGCATGCTGTCTAAGTCATGAAATGACTTATATTTTTGAACAAGTGGAGAAAATACCTGAATCAATGAAATAAACCTGTGAAACAATGAAACTTCAAATAAATTTATGTCTTCTTTTAATTTTTCGGAAAACTTTTTTGAATTTGATTTGATTTGTCGCAAAAATAAGCTTAATAATAGGACAAGTATTGATGTAACACAATCGTAAGCTGTATCCGATTTGTTGATCGACTGTAAAAACTTATCAATAAAATTATCCCAAATTGTTTCGAATTTTGAGTAAATTGGATTGTTTTCGTAAAGTATATACTCTATTGGTGCGCAGATGAGTAAAGGAAGACTGTTAAAATCGCCAAAAATCAAATCTTCCAATTCAAAATCGAAAGGAACTGAATTTTGAATCAAAAAGTCCATGTAATTCATAATGATCTCCATGGAATATGGCAATACAATGCTTTTAATTGGCCCTTTATTTGAGATGCAATTCCAAAATTTCAGAAAAATTTGAACAGAGTTATAATTTTGAGATAATGGTTGTGTAAATGCAAATAAGGAATTATTTTTCAATATATTTAAAGTATTTTCTGTGAAAAACCGCTCAACGGTTTGGTCGGGGGAAGTTAAAGCAAATTTATATAAAATACACCACAAAGTGTATTGATTTTCAAGAGAAATGTCATTATTCATGGTTATCATGATCTGCAGATTAGCTATACACTCGTTTAGGAATTGTATTTGAAGCGAATTTTCAATAAATCTCGTATCTTTCGACAAAAGTCTCAAAATGCAATTTAGACACAAATTTTGTAATTCAGGATTACTTGTTGACTGAAAAATATATGAATAGCAATGACAGAGCTGTGAAAGATACTCATTTTCCAAGATATTACAATCTATTGAAATATACAGCGTATTAATATCGTCATCTGTAGAGTATGCAACACTTTCGCGAGATATAACACGATAACAAGCGAAAATGAATCTGAAAAATGTAATTAAAGAATTTTCTGTTAAATTATGGTCTTTGCAGTGTATAATTAAAGCTTTGTATATATTTGGCATGATATTTGTAGAATCAATCTGTTCTGATATTGTATCCGTGAATTTTTTGAAATCTTTGTTATCATTAAAAGAATTTAAAATCATTGATATTGTATTTAAAGTGTTTGGTTGTAGAGAATCGAGATCACTGAGAGTTTTCGATATTTTCTCATAGAAAAGGTCAAAAAACGTTTGTCTATCATTGACCAAGCCAGAAATGAATGATTCTGTGTAAAGGGATAGATATACATTTAGTGTTTGCTCGTTTAATTTGGTTGGATTGTAAATAAATTCAGATAAATAATTTTCTATTTGGATTAAAAGATCTAATTGTATTTTTGTTGGGAATTTCCGAATTAGTCTTGATAAAATAAGAGCTGCTTGTGATTTGATTGACAAATTTTCGTTGCATTGTAAAATTGTAAATAAAATGTTGGAAGAAACTGGATTATTTGTCACACGATCGATAAATCTGATATTCTCCTCTGTGTTTTTCCCACTAATAAGTTCATTTATTACGTTTGAAACTGCATCAATATCAAGTTCATTCATCAAAATAAAAAAATGAATAAACACAACAAATTTGATCTATAATTCTATTAAAAATATGAGATATTATATTTTTGGGTAATAATGAGAAAAATGAAAGAAATATTTCAACATTTTCAATCAGGCAATGATTATAAGTCATTTCATTATACTTATTGCATAAAATGCATGATGTGTTTCCAAATTGTCAAAATAAAAGAAAGAGATAAAATATATTGCAATTCATGATATAAAACGATGTTATGTGGAGTAAACATTCTCTTATCATATACTGATTAAACTTCAATGTGTTAAATATTAGATTTATTATAGTGTTTTCGATGGTACTTGATTCAGATTTTAAATGGATATTTGTTGGAGGACGAAATGAAGCTGGTAAGTCCACAATTGCTGCAAGTATCGCTCTCCAACTATCAAAAATCAAAAACAGAGTATTGTTGATTTCACTTGACCCAACTGAAAGCCTAAATGCTATCTTCAAAACAAAATTTAACGATTTACCGAAACACATACCCGGATCAAAGACACTTTGGGTAATGTATTCATATTTCAAATATAATTCGCCAATTGGTGAAATAGAAACAAGCGCTCTAGCGAATATTTTTGCTAACATCATGATAGATGACTTCGATGTTGTCGTTTTCGATATGTACTCCATTAAAAGCACAGTTTCTTTATTCGAAATTACAATGAAATCTGCTGCACGTTTAAATTCTTCAAGCATTGAATCTATTATATCGCTTTTTGAATCATTTATATTCGATACACGTAAAATAACAAGCCTTCTCAGACAAACAACAAAAAGATTAAAAAATAATAAAGAAACAGCTTTCGTAATCTGCTTACATCCGAATTATTGGCCTTTACTAGATACAGAAAATCTATACCAATACTTAATAGAAGAAAAAATTTCAATTCCATACATGATTATCAATAAAATTTATGAAAAAGAAGAGTCTAGTTGTCAAAGATGCGTTTGGTTTGGCTCAAGACAGCAAGACTTCATTAAAAATATATACGATCTCTATCAGGACATAGAAATAGTTAAAATTCCGTATTTATATGATGAAATCGCTGGAACTGACAGTTTACAGAGCATAATAGACTACATGCAACCATTATTTTCCTCAAAAATTCAAGAAAAATAATTTGAAAAATTATATCTCAAAAAAAATGGCTTTCTCTTGCATATTATTATTGTTTGATACAAACTTGAGTCATTTACTATAGAAACGCACTTTTCTGATCTATTTATTTTAAAGATCTGACAAAAAGTCGGAAATTTTTGAATAATTATGTGAAATTACCACTTTCCGACATTCTCTCACGAAACCAATAATTCTTTGCTTTAAAAACAAAAAATTATAACAGCCATAATAGATATACTAATTTCTTACCTTAGAGAATTAGAATAAATAATGCTATTTATTTTTACCTTCGTCTAAAAAGTTTCATATTTGGAGGAATTCTACTGTCAGTGATTAATTGATTTTCTTCCTCGATTATGCATTCAAGATCCACTAAGCATTGCTCTTGAGTTATTGATAAAGGAAAATAACCTATTTGTCTTTGTATATAAACACTTTTGTATGTTTGTAATGTTGGATTGTTCCCTGAAAAATATGAATCTATTACATTAAAAGTATATTGTTGCAAGAATGTTGCTAATAAAGTTCCAGTGTTTTCAATGAATTGAAATTTATTTATAGTTATCCGATTTGCATTAATAAAAACTGCTTTGATATTTTTATCAGGTCCAAAAGTATCTGGTGGACAAGTGTTTTTAATTATTAAACAATAACAAACAACGTCTGCTGGAGTTGTATTTTGAGCGTATGCACCAAAATGCATGCAAGAAAAATAGTCAGCTGTTGTATTATGAAGAAGATTGTATTTGAATTCTATGCTCATTGCGCCTGTTGTATAATATCCTCCTTGATATCTTGCTTTGCAATGAGATACATTGATGTTCTTATCTATTACGTTACAAAATCTATTAAAAATAGATCCACTAATACAGCTATTATCTATTGCAGAAGTATCAAATATATGATGTTTAATACTAATACTGTTATTGTACGATTCAAAATATAAAACGCTCGATCCATGTGAAGAAAAAGAACTCAAACATCTTAAAATAACTCCTGCTTCTTTAACATATATAAATCCTTCTTTGTCATCGCTTTTTCCATTATCATTATTCGAGCAATAATTGAGAGAACAACTTTCAAGCAATAATCTATTATTTGACTTATTAAGATAAATTACATGTGTATTTGTGAATTTTAAGAATACTATATTGTAGACATACAAATCTCCTTCTCCAGTAATTATTTTTGGAGTGCATATATACTGGGGATCAAAGTCTGTAAAGCTGTCTGTGTCTTCTGTGTATCCTTGAGAATGATAAATGCATGATTTCAAATGAATAAAATTGAACAATGTATAAATGATTGTCAAAAAACGCCACTCAGATTTCTCAAATAATATTTTAAAATAAAAAGAATTGTTGCAAAATTAATTGATTTTGTAGTTTTTTTTTCAAAAGAAATTCAATTTTATAAAAAGTCGTTATGAAAAAAAATTCTAAAGTACTCACAAAATCTAGATTGAGAGGCGGTCAATGACTTTTGAGGGGAAATTAACGCATGGAATTTAATATTATTTAGGTTGATATTCTTGCTTATTATTTCAGAAAAAAATCTTAAAAATTTCAATATGAAAATTGAAAGCAATTCAAAAAAATTGCTAACATGTAAATTTTAATATCCTATGCATAATTTCATATTTTGAACATTTTTTATTTTTGTTTAAAACTTAAAATTTTGCGAATTTAATATAATTTATAAAATATAATACGTATATATATTTAAAATACACTAAATTTAATTGTTAATTGACGTTTTTGGGAATGAATTTTATCAAAACATGCCTGAATCCGAAAATTTGAAAGAACGAATTACACAATCATATATGTAGAATTCAAAATACAAACTTAAAGATCGTATACGTTTAAAATTATTCAGATTGTGTTTGATTTCCACTCATTCTGTTTCTTTTGAACTCTAACACTAACATTTCATGATGATTATATGATCCATTTATACATGGTTGAATTGTTCCAGATTCTACCAGAAAATCAATCCAAATTTCTCAATGCATTCATGTTGATTGGACAAAATTTAAAATTTATCAGCCTGTTTCCAGAGAAACTCATATATTCCCTAATGAAATGTAATTTTTGCTACATTTATTTCAATCAAATTTCAAAAAATTGACTGCAGAGCTTGAAAAGGTGATGAATCATGTTGTTATTAGATGTACATATTAGATTTACTATTTCCAAAAAAATGCTCAAATTTGAATAGTTTTTAGAAAATTTGGAATTACACTCCTTATATTATATATAATTAAATGTTTAAATTTTATTTATTTTTCCCTTTTAATTTTATAACGTGCTCTATCAAAACTAACCTCTCAATTGAAGGCCACAAAATCTAAGTAGTGGGGGTACACAAATTTTGTATGGAGTACGGTTCAATTTTTGAGAGCCTCACTACTTAGATTTTGTGACTACCTTAGTAACCAACTAATAACATAAAAAATGAAAATGTTAGGGGAAAAAGATCAAAAAAGGATGAATAATGAGTCTTTATCAAAAAAAATTTGTAATTAACTTTTGATTAATTACAAACATGTTACACATCAACTAGAATTCTTATGTAATGGCACTTATTTCTTAGCTGATAGAAACGTATTGTTTTATCAGGATTTCATGCATATGATAAAAAGTCACGTAGAAGTGCTTCCGCTCTCAATATCAGTATGCTAGCTTTACAACTCGAGCATCATATAGTACAAGTTGGATGTATCTCAGGGCTATAGATGGTTTTTCTATTCATTCTTAATGAAAGATATTCAGATTGAGATTTCAATGAAATAACTAAATTTGCTTATAACATCATTTGGAAAATATATTTTGTGATATTCATATGAATTTCTGATTGATATTTTGTATGTAAACTCAATGTTTGTTCAATTCTGAATAATAATTCCGCCAATATTGTGAATTTATAAAATCTAAGTTGTTGTTACTTATACGATTGACTAGGTATTTCAAACCTTCTGATTTTACATTTCAGCTTTGATACTTTTATATCAATAATTTCCGTTATGTTCTAAATTTTACAATTCTGAAGTGAAAATGTAAGGATGTCAATTTGGAAAATTGTTTTCATTTTAGGAGAATATAATTTTCCTTTTCGAAAATTTAAAAAGTGAGACGCGCAGGATTCGAACTTTTTTAAAAGTTAATTTAAATATATTCTAGTGTGGATTCTAAGGATAATATCATATTTAAAATAAGAATATGTAATAAACAGAAATTCATCAAAAGTGACAGCTCTCAATTTTTTGACATTTGTAAATTCTAAATTGAATGAGAAAAATGAAATAATACTAAGCATAATACAATATTCTAGATTTAATTATAATTAGGAAAAGTTAGTTTTGAGAGTACTTTTCATAGGCATATAGAATGAAATCTTCTGAAAAATAATATCACATAAACTCATATTATTTTCTAATATATAACTATTTTATATAAAAATCAAATTCAATGATCTTAAAAGCGAAGGATAAACCTCAAAATTTACGAATATAATGAGTGGGAATATAATGCTTATCTATCATAAAACCATATGAAATATCAATTTTTGCTTTACGCCTAATTTTTGACGACAATTAGCAAAAAATGTTAAATGTTAACACTCAGTCCATTTGAATATGAAAAATAAAATTGACTTTGATTAAATGTTTTTATTTATCATGCAATTCTTCTTGCGACCAAAGATTTGAATAAAAGTTCAAAAAATAAGATAGCTTAAAAAATAATATACGGTAGTGTTTACTAATAGATGAATAGTATATAAATTCTATTAAAATGGATTTGATCCAAAAAAATATAAAACCAAAAATAATTGTTATAATTTAAATGAAGAAGTAATTTAAAACGATTTTATTTATGATCAAATTTTATATATTTTTTGGATCAAATCCATTTTAATAGAATTTATATACTATTCATCTATTAGTAAAACACTACCGTATATTATTTTTTAAGCTATCTTATTTTTTGAACTTTTATTCAAATCTTTGGTCGCAAGAAGAATTGCATGATAAATAAAAACATTTAATCAAAGTCAATTTTATTTTTCATATTCAAATGGACTGAGTGTTAACATTTAACATTTTTTGCTAATTGTCGTCAAAAATTAGGCGTAAAGCAAAAATTGATATTTCATATGGTTTTATGATAGATAAGCATTATATTCCCACTCATTATATTCGTAAATTTTGAGGTTTATCCTTCGCTTTTAAGATCATTGAATTTGATTTTTATATAAAATAGTTATATATTAGAAAATAATATGAGTTTATGTGATATTATTTTTCAGAAGATTTTGTGTTCTTCTTCAAAATTTTATTTTTTTATTAAAAAGAATCTTTACAAAATATACATTTACTTTAATTAATATTTAAAAACGTGCTCTATCAACAGTTCCAAAAATTCAATATTTTAGCTTTTCTGAGGTGTCACTTTTGATGAATTTCTGTTTACAACAAATATACTAGTTTATGTGGTATAATTTTTTCGATAAATTTGAGAGCATGTACGTTTAGGGCATCAAAAGTGTCAATTCGCTCAGCGAAAGCTGAGCTAGCTTCGTTCTCGAAAGAATAGGGAAGGAGTGAAAGAGAGTGATACAGATGTTGACACATTCATATCATTTCAACAAATTTTGATCAAATTGAAATGCAATGAAATTCAATTCACTTCATATCCTTCAGTCAGTACATTGACATCCTTCTACATCACAATGATAACTCGTGCATCAATAGTTCTACAACTAACTCAGAAAAAACAAGATTTTTCCTTCCAGCTTACAACTTTTAAAAAGTTTCGATGATAAAAATCACTCTACTCTTGTTTATCGATATGTTGTGATAGTAGGTAAACGTATTTTTATCGATATTAATAAAAATATTTTTACGAAAATCTGAACCAATTACAGAGTTATTCATAAAGTTTATGATAACTGTAATTACTTCATCTTTGTTTTATATTTGAATAAACAATTTAATTTAATTTGCATAATTTTTTTTAGTTGAAAGACAGGAAACTTAGTTGAGTTTGTATTATTTTTATCGTTCAATTCATTGTATATGTGAGTGATCCAGATATTTAAGATATTTAGAAAAAATTTATTAATTTGATTAACAAATTTTAATCAAAATAGCAAAAATCTATTTGATAGCTGTAAGCAAATAATAATTTCTATTTCAACCAAAATCACTTATTTTCATCTAAACGTATAAAATTGTCAATTTTATGAGAATAAATTTAAAATCTCATGAAATATAAAGGAGAGTAATATTTTTCAATTTTCTTTTTTTCTTTCTCTCAAATATTTTCTATTGGGAATTTTCTTGTTATCAAAAAATAATTTTAATATTTGTTTATTTCATTACATACAATAAAATTTTAAAAACTCTATTTCTTCACAAGAAAATTTTTTTCCTTCATATGAAGAAACATTTTGTTCTCCATTTGATGCTGAGTCTAAATCTCGATTTTTGAATTTTCTTCTTTCCAAATTTCTTTTTTCCAAATTAGAAGTTTAATTCAAATTTTCAATAGTTTATATATTTTCTCAAACCGTCTTAGATTTTCTCACTTTTTAGGGATTTTCTCTCAAAATATACAAAAATAGTAATACCAATACATGTGTCTAATATACTTTAAAACCATCGTGATAAAATTCAAAAACGAAGAGTTCTTCTCTCCAAATTTTTTTCAAAATCAAAAAAATGAGATAGAAAAATACGTTTGGAAAATTCATTTTTAGCATTTTAGGAATTTTCTCACTTTTCTTCCAAATTGACATCCTTAGAAAATGATAATAATTTTAGTCAATATATTAAATGAACAAAGTTTGAAAAGCATTATATTATAGCTTCCAAAGTTTGGTTTAGAAAATCTATTTCAGTTTGGAAAACTATAAGATAATATTTGTAATTGCAATTAGATTTATATTACAAATAAAAAAGCTTCATGGAATGATAATTTGATTATTATTTTTAATTCCTTACTGTTTGAAACGTGCTTAACGGCTTAGAATATATTATAATTACATTTTATTGATATTCCACTCTCACGATAAGCTTGGAAATGATATTTTTGAAGCATTATTTTTAAATATTTTGGTCACAAAGATTTTTGAATAGATTATCCGACAAGAAATTTCTCAGCTAACAAAAAGAAAGAAAACATGGCATATTTGAAAGTGATTAATAATTTTGAAAAAATAGTTATTCATATTAAATCAATTTATAAGTAAGTTCAATTGACATAGCAGATGAAATGATGAAAATCATTCTTAACTCAAATTTAAAATATTAATATGTAATATAAGTATGATTATTAGACGAAAATTCAATTAATTCAAAAATCATATATTATGAGTAAATTCATATTTATCGATCGATTTCTAAAGTTCATTATCGATTTAGATTTTGAGAAAATGAAAAATCAAAAAAAATTAAAGTGAAAAAAGCATCCGACCAAAGATAGCGTACTCCTAAGAATTATTTTTGAGTTTTTCCTAAAAAAAATAATTATTAAAATCATATTTGTAACATGAAAAAGTGAGAGTGTCAGACGAATAAGGCTAAAATTGAATGCAGCACGTTATAGTTGAAGTGGAAAATAAGTATTGATCTATATAGTACATAATATGACAATTCTAAAAATCATAAAGAGAAAGCTAACATTTAATTTTTTGAGGGTGGAATCACTTCTAGTCACGTTATTTTATATCATTTTTTTTCTCGGGGGAGAAATCTATTTTCAGAAATTCTCCCCAAAGATCGATGGACCTCAAAATGGAGTCATTAGACATCAATACCCTAGTGATCATTCCACATTTTCTGTAAAGTCTAGTTATTTCTATAAAGAAGGAATCTATCCTTTTATATATAACACAGCATTGTTTTATTTTTCGACTGACTTTTCTCAGTTTTATGCTGGGAATTATAAAACAACGTGGGTTGATATTATATTCAAAAATTTAATTTATTTAACCCACGTTTCATATACAGCAAGAGAGGTGGATAATTTAGCATGGCAGTATCCGACAGATTTTGCTATATTAGGAACAACTGAAATGAATGAAACGTTAACAATCTTTCGAAATACAGATCCTAACTATCTTAATACTTTAGAACCTGTAGTAATTCCTGTTAAACCAGGAATTTATCAATCAATTAGAATTGAACAATTTGATTTAAGTAGAGAATTATTTGTAATCCGATATTTAGATTTATTTGAATCAGTATGTGTTCCAATTTCTAATTGTTATGAAAATCATCTTAAAATAAGCTGTGATTTACCATTAAAATATTTCCAAACATCACCATTTTTTATAATTGACCTTAGTTTACCATCATAAAGAAGAGCAAAGGAAAGACTTTTACAGATTTACTTAAGTGCCAGAAATAAGTTGTTGGCAATAGATTTGTTAATGAGAAATTATAAAACATGCTAAATTCATATTTTTAAAATACCAAAAAGCCATTTATTGGTCACCCTGATTAAACTAATAAGAGAACAAAAGATAAATTATTGAATACAAACAAAAATAAAAAAAATTATTTATGAAACAAAAAAAGTTACAAAATAGGGAAATTTGTTGGTGACTTTGAATCAATTATAGGAATATTGATGTATCCAAGCGCAATTTCTCCACATAATGGACAATCTTGCAAAATGATGTCTTCGCGAAGAGCCATGTTTTCTGGACTGCGCGCGTACTCGTATTGGTTCAAATCGTACAAATCTTGACTAGATAAAAGAGGTTTGAGCTTTTCAATGAGACATTTTTCGTGAAATCCGTGGCCACACTCGAAAACTATTCCATCATCGACCAATGGCTTGTCACAGACACTGCAGTAGTTTGTTTGTATATTAGAAAGTGGAGAAAGCAACTCTTGCTCCATCATTTTGCCACATTGGTCAATATGGGCCTTTAAACTGTTCACATTGTTCAAGAAACCATCTATTTGTGTATGTATTTCGTTTCTCGATATTCCTTTATTATCTGCGTTTGTTAAATTTTGTTTCTTTTCTATAAATTTTTCGGAAAGCGAAGATAATGACTCCAAAGTCTTCTGCATGTTCGCTTTAACGAGTTGCATCCTTAAAATAGGGAAATATTTGAACAACGGGTGTTGGTTCGAAAATAATTTTCCGAATTCTTCGTTGTAATGCTCCAAATTGACTCCTTTATTGATAATTGTCATCATAAGGAGATGTGCATGCTCCCAAAGTCCTTCTTTCAGTGCTTCCTTGAGAAGATTAAACACTTTTTCGTTGTCAAGGCTGTTATCGAAGAAAGCGACGATAGGAGGCAAAATTTCCCATTTTTGTTGGTAAGGAAGTTTTGAAATTTTATCAAAAAACTCATTCGGATGTTCAATTGCGTATTTCGCAACATCTGTCTTCATGATTGAGGCTTCATTGTCTGTCTGGTTATTTTGGCTTACAGTGTTCTCGATCGCTGGTGAAAAAGCTCTCAAATATTTAATATAATCCAAAAATTTCTCATATTTCTTAGCCATTTCCTTATCAACCTTGGGCAGATTGAACGATGGTTTGAATTTCGTACCCGTATCTATCATCAGCAGCTCATTCATCAAGATATAAGATAATAAAATCTGATCTTCTGAGACATTCTCCTTGGAATGGACGATTTCGTTAAGCTTTTGTGTTGAATCTTTAAATTTCGACTCCATTAGTGACTTTACTACGATTTCTGCCGCACTAATAAAAACATTTGGTTTTGTAGCATGAATCATCTCATCTATTGTATGTGAACGTGTATTATCCACTTCATTTGTGTAATCTACCTTAATAGCACCGTAATTTTCCGTTACTATAAAAGAATTTAAATCAGGAGCCGGAGTAAACGAAGTTATCTTCATATCTGCTAAGAATATCTTTGCAGAAAGTCTACAAGAAGCTATAGAGAACAATACCATGGCCGGATTATGGTATTTTCCGTGCATATCCTTTGTAATAAACAAAACAATATGTTTATCAGTCATAAAGAATGGAAAAGTATTAGTTCTATACAACAAAATGAATTTTTCAAGGCCCATCGCGTCCATAATTACTGAATCATAAATAGTAATCGGAGATGGAATAGTTCTGCCGCCAATAATGTCATTTATGTTGAATATGTTGATACCTAATTGGTTTAAGATGCAGAGTTGCTTGTTATTTGAATCAATGAATGGAAAAATTGTAACTCCATCAATTTTTGGTTTTTGATAGAAACTTCTGAAGATAACAATGTCCATTTGGGTCTTAATATTGTATTCCGCGAACATTCCGACGTTTCTGTTCGTAGCAAATATGTATAATTGATCTTTAATTACTACAGGGACGACTGCTGTAATTTCTTCGTTTTTGAGTTGACTAATTTCATTGTTGAATGCTAAGAATGGTTTTACTTGCATGTGCATGTCGCAAACTAGTTCTTTGTTTTGATTTGTAAATTTATAAAGATGAAGATGAGGAGTCATCTTTCCATCTAGAAGTAGAATGTAGATCGAGTTGTTATAAATGAAAGGACGTATACCCCACGTGTTCAAAGCACTCGCATCTGTACTTATTTTGACTAAATCTGCATCTGTAGTAATATAATAGAGATAAAAGCGGGTATCCATCGCAAAGAATCTGTCTGTTTCGGGAATTACAAATAATGAAAGTATTTCAACTGGAATTTCTTTTACAACTTTTCGAATTTCGCCATTTACGACTTTTGTTCGCGTAAGTATATAGACCCTTTTCTTTGTTATTGAGTTTTCTTGTATTTGTGTCATTACGTAAATGTCTTTACGCATATATGCGTAACAAAAATTTACAATTTCGGAATTTACTTCGATTAAAGGTATGATTTTGAAGCCATGATTCTTGTTTCCAAGAATGGATCTCCTATTTGCTATTGAGGGGCCGGAATGATACATGAAAAATTAATCGAATATTTTGTCAAAAAAATTGAATTGGAATTGACAAAAATACGATTAATCTGACAGAAAATAAAAATCAAATCAAATCGGATAACAAATATTTGTTTAATCAGTGATTTACCAATTTACCAATTTACCAATTTACCAATAAATATTCCATTTAGAAAGTAAAAGATTAAGATCATCAAGTGGAATAAATGTTTATGCTGCATATGACGCTAATCTCTCTCAATACTCAAAGTATGAGGCCTTTTACCATGCTGAATATTGTTATATAATAGATATGTTGGAGGATAAATTTCAAATTCACTTTATGCAAATATTAATTCACTCACAATGGTATCATATTGTTAACTATATTATATTGATCAATATGGCTTCTATAGTTTCTTTTTAAAGATAAACTATTAGTCTGAATTGCTTATTATGCACATTATAAAATCATTTTGTTGAAAGATTGATGTTATAAAATGACTTATTTGTAGTAGTATTGATAATAAAGTAACAGATAAGGAATCAATTTACCTGAAGAGGAGTTATTTCATAATCATCTTTCACATTTATGTTTACGCCGAATGAAATTAGTAATTCCAGTGGATTCTGCATTTTTCTTTTCTGTTGCATGATAAAGAGGAGTCTTATCATATCTACTTTTAAGGGTGAACTTACACCCTTGTGACATGGCATTCAGTTCTTTCGTATAAGGTTGGTTTTCAACGACTCTTCACGCCTGTTATTAAAAATTTGAATGAAAGTCAGATGGGTAAGTGCACCTTTAAAATTGTTGTGTATATCATGCAAAATTTGCACTTCTGCTGGTATCTGAATTATTGAACTATAAATCTACCCATACACAACTTTATTTAATAGCTCCTTGTGTATGTTATCATTTTTGTGAATTTCTAGTCATTTTGTTGGCAAATTCAAAATTATAAACTATACAATTTATTTTCACAAAAAATTCTTAATAGATGCATTGCAATTCAAGTAGGTATCATTGCATTGTAATCTCATAAATTTATCTTTTTAGCATGACCCTGAAAATAAAAAATTACAATTTTTCGCGTGACTTTTTTCCTCAATTTTTGAAAAAGTCAGCGCGAAAAATTTGATTCTTTTGATCTTCAAAATTATTGGAATCGAATTTTACAAAATTCGATTCCAATAATTTTGAAGATCAAAAGAATTATCATTTTCATCTGGCGAAAATAATAATACTCCCGCCAATTAACTCATATTGTCATATTGCATTTATATAACTTAGCTAGATCTAGCCATATAGCTCCTTGTGCATGATATATATAAAAAATTATGCAATTTCATTAAAATTCAACTTGGCGGCAGAATGAAGAGGAGATTTGAATTCCACATTGTATTACTATGATCTAAACAATTAAAATGCAGGAAGATTATTAGAATTATGTTATATATTATCAAATTCATATTTATAATTTGGATATATAACGTAATTTATGTTATGCGCTATAATGGCAAATTCCATGCAGTTCGTATATGGATGAATTTTTTTTTTAGATTTCCTAATTAGATTTTGAAAATTTCCGAATTAATGGCATGAACCGGTTGCCAAATTTTGCTATCAATAACTTAAAACAGTTAGTTGATCAATTATTATACCCAGATTTTCCTTACTTTTACCACCTCTCTAAAGCTGGGGACACCGCCTATCGTTGGGAGTAGCTATTAAATAGAACCACCAAGGGTATTTTTCGAACTGCCGGTGTAGTGGAAACATCCAACATAATGATTCATTATGCCAAGGTTTGATTCCCATTTAGCCAATTTTTTTCTTTTTTGGATCATGAATTTTTTTTGGGTCACTATAAGATTTGTTTCATGTTCTAAATCTGCTGCATATGTAATCTATTTTTATTTACCTATTTTTTAAAAATCTATTGGATTGCCAAATTTGAATATATTTAAAATCATAAAAATCCAAAAAAACTATAAATATATGTTTTATGCATAGTGCCGATACTCAAATATCAGATTACTTAGATCCATGAATAATATCCGAATTTTTTTTCTTAAAATTAAACTTCAAAACTTCTTGCAATCTTATTCTTAATCAATTGTAAATTTTTAAAACCATTTTTTAAAATAATTTTGCGTAAATTTTATTCTCATGTTGTTTTAATCGAAAATTGATACATTTTCAAAAAATAATATTGACTTATGAAATTCATTTTTAAGGTGAAATAGTATTGTTTTTATTAAAGTATATGAATAATATATAAAAAATTAATGAATAATATAAGCAGATTTTTAGTTTACAAAACAAATATGAGCAATGCAATTTCAAACTTTTGCTGGCAATTTCGATATTGCTCAAGTTTGTAGTATTTGTGATACCTATAACATCGGCTTAAACAAAATTCGATTTTTCTTATGAGTTATTGAGAAAATTTGATTGCAATGAGAAGGATTTCGACGTTTTTGATAAACTAAGAGCTGAGCTTTAGGGGTTCAGTTCATTTATGGCTGTAGTTTGATGCGTAGATCTCTTTTTTATTGTAAATTCTTTCAGCATGGAGATCGAGAATGAATCTTTTGAGAACTTTATGAGTTTTTACACCCGTAAAGAGGTCCTTCGAGGAAAGATAGTCCAGACTACATGAAGATGTGGGTTAACCAAAAAAATCCGATGGTTTCCACATATTCATGTAGATCTTCGAAAAAATGAGCACCAAAAAAGCCAAAAAATAGGCTTTTTATTGGATTTGTACACTAGATCAATAATCTATTTAGGATCTGACACTCTTTTTAGCCAGAGATATGAGGTCCTTTCTAGGAAAACGATCTATTCATCCATAAAAAAAATGAATTATCGTTTTCCCCAGAAATTACATGGGGAGTGGTAAAAGTAAGGAAAATCTGGGTATAACTGAAATTTTAATCAGATCGATAATCAGAAGCTATCATACTATTTAATAGTAGTGCAGTTTAAGATGGTTCTCAGATATGATGTTTTTACTCACATTGGAAATTTTAAGAATTTATAAAATTGTAAACTATTCAAAAATTTCGGATTTCTGACAAGGACAGAAGGTTTTTTTAGTCGTTTTCCATTTTGTAAAATCATGAGTTGATTCTTTTAATGCACGTTTAAATTGACTCTGACTATGATATTCAAATATCATTTTCATTTAAAAAAATTATTTTGTTCTTCAATTTTATAAATTTTTTATATTTGAATACCACGAGGATAACGAAGCCATTAAGAACAAAATATAGTATATTATATTCGACTATTTAGAAAGAATTTAACGCCATCTATGCTCATAGAAATTCAAGTTTTGTCTTTATTGAAATATTTTTTTTAACAATGAATCATTTTGCTTTTAATGCATCAATTATTCCCATCTAACTATAGAAATGATTCATATCATTCTTTTCCACATGTTGATAAAAGTAAAATAAAATGCTAATTTCATCTTTTTATTTATATTATTTGAAAGATTGGGATGCAAAACACATTCATCATTTTTAAATATATTATCATTTTACAATTTAAATAGACCTTCAAATTGATTGGACTGATTTATGTTTAAACCATTTCTCATAATTTATAGATGACACGAAGGCTATAAAATATGTTTTGTATCAAAATATAAGAATTGATCTTTCATAAACATAATACGGAAAATGATTTTTATAAAAAAATTGACTATATGACATCACATAAGAGTAAACTTTTGAAATCTTAGTCAAATATTGTTAAGAAATAATATGTTGCAATAAATAACATCTATTTAAATATTTGATTTTGAAGTTGATAACGGTTTTGTATTCGTATTCAAAAAAAATCACAAAAAAAGTGAAAAATGCAAGGTCATTTCATTCAATGAAAAGCTCCGAAATTAAGATCAAAAGTTTCATCATTGATGAAGGAAAAGAAACACAAAAGAAATATCAGTGCGACAATGCAGGATTTCCTCAATAAATGAATTTCAGGAAACTTTAAATAGGGTCGACGACATCATTGGTAAGGAAGATTCAACAATAGATATTTTACCATTTCAGGAATTCGATTTTTGTCCGATTCATGAGTTTTGTATGCACGAACCATTTGATGTAAAGAATAATGATTTTCCATCCTTATGAAATATCAAAACAAAATGTAACAGAAGCCCATAATTTGTTCTATCATATGATGTTACTTGTAGTAAATAAAGTTCATGTTTATTGGCATTAAATCCCTTTTAAAATTGCTCGAAGTATGTTGAACATGTTAGTACACAAGTTTAAACGCGAATCATGTTATTCAAATATAAAAAAATTTATAAAAATGAACAAATTAGTATTTTTTTTTATCAACATTTGGAAAAGAATGATATGAATCATTTCTATAGTTATATGGGAATAATTAAAAGCTACTCTCATTCAAATTAATTTTATATCGTCTAAGTCAAAAAATAAGGTAAATTTTTTTGAATAGTTTACAATACTAGATATGAGAATTGAGAAATATCTTATCATCATACAGTCAAAAATGCATCATTGAGAAGAACAAATAGTTTCAATATCATGATTGGATAAATGAACAACATTATTGTAGTTCTGAAATCTAAATGCTATTTTAAATTCAAGTTTCATTAATAAAAGTAAAAAATATGAAATTTACATTGAGATAATTACTAGACCATGATTAAATGAATTTTGAACAAATTGTAATTAGAGATGGGATAAGCAATGATGATAATTCTCAAAACTCGATTAAAATGGACTAAACTTTACATTGATTAAATGCATGTAATTAAAGCGTGTATGACAAACACATGCTGAGATATATATAGGGACAGGACTGAAGATAATGGCGAAGTCGGGAACTAAATTTGTCGTAAACTCTGTTACTATTAAAATATCCGATAATGTATTATTGTCTGTTAAAGAATCAATTATAGCATATATTGAGTTGGCATCATCATCAGCTGTGCTTAATATAGGAAAACTATTTTGAAAAATACACAAATTTTCAT